AAACACTTCATTCCTCTAAAAATTGTATTACGTATAAAAAGTTCCCAAAATGGAGGACATACCGGTATTGTATTAAGCATAACGGTATTTAATCATTAAATAAACATATAAAAACAAAAAGGCATTTATTTAACCGCTATTTTTTCTTAATTAAGTAGGAAAGTACGGAAACCGTAATGGCCGAAACTCTGAAAGCGAGATTTTGTTTTGTCTATTAAAATTCCCATAAATATAATGGAACTATAGAATGTAACCAGAAATTGGACAGAGAATTCAACGTTAGATTAGACGACAGCCTTTTAGTATTTCAGAATAATACATTGAATTTAGTGACAAAGCAAAAACATCTATGAGCAAGAGTAATTGTTATAATTTCTTTGCAAAAGAGATATTGGTGAGTTGTTTCATAAATTTGTACTATATTTAGAGGTAGAGAACAAAGCAATCGTTCTAGTCCTTTCTACCCTAGTATTAAAGGATAATTTTTTTAACAGTTGCTAATTGTTAACAGTTACTAACTTGCGGCATTCGACAGCCAACATGACCGCTGTCAGATCGTCAATAAGTTTGTATGCGGTATTTTTACGGCAATATTTTCTCAAAATATGCCTAGACCTCGTTAAATGTTCTGAGAAAATGGTCCACGGAAAATCATTACCTTCTCTACGAAAATATCAATGCCGTCTGCACGGCATTACTTTTTACCGTAGTAGGGCCGTTATATTATCTAATACTATATGTTTTTGCCTTGACTTGCTTCATACGATGCACCTACTAGATTGCGGTTATATCAAAAGTTAATGGGAAAAATAAACTTTTTCTGAATGTTTTCAGTTCTATTGCTACACATATTGGGGACTCTATATCAACTGGCAAACTCAAGATTGAATTGAAATTCTTTGCTAACCCTAGCTTGGTGTCTATAGTCCCTGATATGATGTAATTCGTTAATACTTACACCATTGAATTTGTAATCAAAAGCTATATACTTTTTTGGGTTTTTTAGTTCACTGTAATTAAAATAGTAACATTTTTCGATATTTTAAAACAGTCAAGTTCTTACGCAGTAGCCATAAAATCTTACAAGATCCTCCTGAACCCTGGGACAGTCATCGATGCTTATCTCTTGCAAAACGAAAACATTTACTCGCGTCCGCTATGAACAAAGAGAACAAGTTCTCAACTCAATATACAAAAAAAAATATACAAAGTTTTTCCACATCTACGTAGAGGTCATTATAGGGAAGGATGTAGATAACTACTACAAAAGTGATTGATACTGACTTTCATCAACAACACTTGGCGTTATGTATATATATATATATATATATATATATATATATATATATATATATATATATATATATATATATATATATATATATATATATATATATATATATATATATATATATATATATATATATATATATATATATATATATATATATATATATATATATATATATATATATATATATATATATATATATATATATATATATATATATATATATATATATATATATATATATATATATATATATATATATATATATATATATATATATATATATATAAATATGATGACACTATACTCCGGGATATCATCCGTTCGTTTGTTGAACTCCCACTGGAATCCTGCAGACGTTTCGCCAAAATCTCACTTGGCATCTTCAATGCTCGCGCTCCGAAGTGTTCGAAGTGTTTTCGTCTGCAGGATTCCAGTCGGATGCAGGATTCCAGTCGGATGCAGGATTCCAGTCGGAGTTCAACAAGCGAACGGATGATATCCCGCAATATAGTGTCATCACATTTTTCCATCCGTGAATCAATACGTGAAAAAAAAAAAAAAAAAAATATATATATATATATATATATATATATATATATATATATATATATATATATATATATATATATATATATATATATATATATATATATATATATATATATATATATATATATATATATATATATATATATATATATATATATATATATATATATATATATATATATATATATATATATATATATATATATATATATATATATATATATATATATATATATATATATATATATATATATATATATATATATATATATATATATATATATATATATATATATATATATAATTTATATATATATATTTTTTTTATTATTATTATTTTTATTTTTTTTTTCACGTATTGATTCAAGGATAGAAAAATGTGCTGGCACTATATTCCGGGATATCATCGGTTCGCTTGTTAACTAAAACATAGAGGGCGGGAAACTCAAAAAATACAAATCTAAACTACATAATAACGTAATAACAATATTACATACTCATTTTATCAGCACGTAACATCGTATTTCGCGAATAAAATTTTGTGCATATAGGCACATATAAAATTCTCTAATAAGAAGTAGGGAAATTCTGTAACCTTTTCGTTAAGCAACCGGTTTATGACTTTAATCCAGTAGATAATATGTTTAATTTATGTTGGAGTTCACCTACGTAATATCCAAATGTGAATGAGTTTTCTTACGGCCACATGCTTTTGGCATTTTGAATTACGCGCAATAATGTCTTTAGGTTTAATTAATTATTTAGTTTTCTCTCTTACATTAAATAATAATTTTTTTGATTCAATAAGCGGTGGCTGATATAATATGTAGTTGATTTTTTGAACTGCAGTCCGTGTAGTTTTGTTCTTCGCTACAATTGATACAGCCTGAAAGGTCAGTGCATATGGACCTTGTTTCTCTATTTCTCGATGTACTTCAAACTTACACTCCATCTTTTTTTTTTTCACTTTGCCATTGATTTCTCTACTTTGTGTATTTCTCTATGCTTTTTTTACTTATCGATAAGTTATAAATAATTTAAAAGCAACATATAGTTAACGGTGTGAAAAATTGCTTTACCACAAAAACGGTAAACCCTAATTATAGGCCATAATGCAGAGTAGGTGAGATAAATTTTAATTTAATATGAAGGCATTTTCTTTAAGTGGATTCGTAGAACTGTGGCCACAGAGGAAACCCACAGCAACGACAACTAAAAAAAATAGAGAATCGATGTCATTTATGATTTTAAAGTATTTTGAGTTCTCTCTCACTTCCTATTTAAGGTACGATACTATAATGTTATCTAAGGACTTCAAAACAATCAAGCAGTAATGTGAGATGGAACCATATCTCCATTATGCTTTACATTTCTGAAAATTGATCATCATTGATTGATAAGGACTATACAAAAAATTAGATATATTTGTTTTTCAATAGGTATTTGCAATGCTGCTTTTCAAGAAAAAGTCAGTTAAAATAAAATATAAAAAATAAATTTGAAATCATATTTCAAAATTCTTGGTAGTTGTAAAAATAATTTGGAAAGATTCATAAAAATTCATAACAAAAAAATCATTAGCCATCTAGATGCTGAGTGCTAGTAAAAAGTGGATGCTTTTTTTATATGCAACAGAAACATATTTTGGTGTTCGGCTTAAAACACTAGGAAACGAATGTAGATATAGCTAGGTGTACCTACATTTGCACTTGCGAATATTATTATCACATACATCGTAGTGTTGTGAGGACTTTTATTAACAATTATTATTACCCCAACGACTTTCATAATAATTATGATTTCATTACTTCGACATTATACATATAGGTATAATTTATCTCTGAATTTATTGGTTGTAACTAAAGTTGTCCATCATATTCTTGCCCAGCAGTTTCGCATCATTTATTCCCGCCAATATAATTAGAATAGTTCATCGGAAAGCGATCCGCTTCATTAAATGCGTTCTCGAAAGTCTGGAAAAATAACTTTATTACTTCTCCATAAACACGAGAAAATCTCGTGAAATAGACAACATAAAAAGCACTTAATTTATATTATTTTATCTTGGTTAATTCGATTAAATCCAAAACTTGCAATCAATTATATCTTGTATTCATATTTTATTGTTGAATTTTATACAAGAAATTTAATGAATTTGCTTTAATTTTTCCTTTCAACGATCATGAAATAAGAATAAAGTGTAAAATATCTCTGGTAATCCGAGGTTACTGAGATTTTTTTTAATTGTATTACCAAAATTCCATTTATTGGAGTTTTCAACGCTAGAAAGCAGGTTTTCGGTAAAACTCTGCTAATCAAGAGTTTGAAAACATTCCATAAACACAAGTTCATATCAAACACTTCTTGGAGTACAAAGTTTGTGAAAAAAAAATAAAGCGATAAAAATGTTGTTTATTTGTTTTATTTTAAAGAAAAGACATTTTTAAAGATGAGAGCGCTGAGAAGTTTCTAGCGCAACCTTCGCAACATTTTAACAATATTAATTAAAATACTACCTTTAACGAAAGTGCTCTTACTAATTTTTTACTTTGCATCTGAAAGACCAATATGAATACAAGCTATTCTAAGATATAATTAACCAAGATAAAATAATATAAATTGAGTGCTTTTTATGTTTGGTTATTTTGGCAACGAATCAAGCTTGAGCAACTGACGCAGGAGGAATCCAGAAATTTTGTAAAGTATTAGTAGTTACTTTACAAATTAAAAAAAAGCTACCACTTCTTAAAAGTCTTCAGTCTGTTTATATTTCTTTTCGAAGTCAAGTAACTGGTTTCAACGGCATTTTAAATAAAAAAAAAATATAAAAATAATTCAAATGAATGATAATCATTGATAAACGCTCCCTTCATCGCTTAATCTACCGCTTAACTCGAAAACTAACCAACGCTCCGTAAATATTGCTTAACAAATATTCAAGTGTCTAAATCTCTCTTAACTCTTGAAGCAAATAGAATGCTTATCTCATGAAAACACCTTGCCAATAGCACTGAGTGCTCTTAATACACTCGCAATATAAAAATAAGAATGATTCTGTGATACAGATGTCAGTAATGGGCGATTGAGACCGGTGCAGGTAGTGTTTCCTATATTCAATGGGTAAAGATTGTGTTCTATGATCAAGTGTCGTGCCCAATTATACACAAATGCAAGAAATTATTAGTTTTCATATAAGAGGTTTGTTTAGCGGATATTTTTACATTGCCCTTTTTGGAAACTGAAAAACAATTATCTCCAAAATTTGAGCATTCGTTATAGGACATTTTTTATCTATGGCTATGATCAAATAATTTCTAGCAATGTGTATCGGTGATGTGTGTAATCTGTGGCTTTTTGCTGATTAAGTGTTTCGTTATTAATATCCGATTTTCTACATGAAAAAATTGTTGTTTTTATTCCGATATTGATGTTAATCGTTTCTACCTTGGCACTCTACTTGATTGTTCTTCAATTTCATATCTGATGTAAGTAAATTTATTTTTAGCTTGCTGTCATCAACAACTGTCTGATTTTGCTTTTCCTGTTAGATCAAAATGCCGAATATCAAGCTTCAGTCCTCAGATGGTGAAACGTTTGAAGTGGACGTGGAAATTGCAAAATGTTCAGTAACAATCAAAACTATGCTGGAAGATTTGGGAATGGATGAAGAGGAAGAGGAAGTGGTTCCTTTGCCTAATGTGAATTCAGCTATTTTACGTAAAGTTATTCAATGGGCCACTTACCACAAAGATGATCCACCGCCACCTGAAGATGATGAAAACAAAGAGAAGCGAACTGATGACATTTCGTCATGGGACGCTGATTTCTTGAAAGTCGATCAAGGTACTTTATTTGAATTGATACTAGCAGCCAATTATCTCGACATTAAAGGCTTATTGGATGTTACCTGTAAGACTGTGGCTAATATGATAAAAGGCAAGGCGCCTGAGGAGATTCGCAAAACATTCAATATTAAAAATGACTTCACTGCTTCAGAAGAAGAACAGGTTCGTAAGGAAAATGAATGGTGTGAGGAAAAATAAATCCTAATTTGATTATGTATACATTTACCATTTACCTTATTCACGAAACTGCTTAACATTAACCAATTTGATTTAACATTTGTCTTAAATGTATTTCTCACCTGATCTGTAATTATTTTAATTATTTGTATTATTGTACAGAAATATTTGTGGATCTGGAGTTTTGATAATAAATTTCTGTGTTTTATTGTAAATCTTATCTTTGTCTCCAGGTGTTCACATATATCCAGTTGTAATAATAATTTGCTTCAGTGGCTATTCTGTCCTGTACCTTATATTTTGTAATACCTGCTCAAGTCTAATAATTTTTAGTTAAATAAATATGCTAAGTGGTTATGTGCTTTTCATTCTAATAGGAATAATTTTGTTTTTCCTATTTGAGGTGCGGAAACAGTAGTTAAAGTTTTCAATAAGAATAACATGAATTGTTTTTTAATTTTTATTCACAATTGTAGAGTAACATATATTGTTTGATAAACAAAATATTCACAGGAATAATACTGATTCATTAGCAAATAATTTTTATTTAGTCAGTCATTACACATATCTTCCAATTACTTGATCACTTGGGGTGGTTTTGCTTGGTGGACCCCGCAACAATGCCATAAGAATTTTGAAATCTTCATACTGAAAAAAAAATCCTTGGTAGAGATAAATTAATAACTGTTTCATGCAAATTGAGTTTATGAAATATTACACTTACATTTTCATTGAGGTTTGGGCTTTGTTGAATACTGTCTAAAAGATAGTCGGGGTCAAAACCTGATGGTGACCTATGTAAAAAAATGGTCCCATTTTCCTATTGTTTACTGTTGTTTTTAGTTAACACCTACCTGGGGTCTCTGAGTTCTTCAGAAAATGCTTGACTGGTGGTGTCTCTTTTCGCAGCAACCCCTCTGCATTTAGGATGATGAACATATATTCTGAAAAATTAAAGAGAAAGTAAATAAATTTATTGAATAATTATTTATCAATTCTTAATTTTAAATAAGGTGGACATTTTTATATATACAAATTTTTACCTGCAGTTGAGTCGTCGAGTCTCTGCTAGAGTGATCAATAATACTAAAACAATTGCGAGTTGCCTTCGGATTTTAATTAAACTGCTGCGACTCATTCTTTGAACCTGAAATTTTTAAATTAGTTATTTTAACAATTATTGGAGGATTAACCACCACCTTAATTATTTGAAAAAAAAAAACAAATTGACCCTATCCAAAATGCTTCACCCTTTGTTATTAATTAATAAATTATTATGTTGCCGGTGACAGCTTCAGTTACCTATCAGTATCAATCTAACTATTTACTACTAGGTACTGGTAAAGTAACCACCCTTTTCCCACGCAAAATGCTTTGAATTGTGGTGAATGTAACATTAATTTGTTTTTCAATTGTTCGATCACGTTGAAATTCCTAGTTGATAAATTATGATTTATATTGATTTCTTTTGATTGTTTAAAAGTAGATACGCGAGATCATAGGCCATGGGAATACTCTTCCAGATGGCTGAATGCATAAAAATCAACAATTTCTTAAATGATATATCGCTTCACTTTTCTGTATATTGGATGTGAGTAAATTTCCACGTTTAAGTAAACATTAATATCGCTCGAAGCAGTGACGGGATAATAATTCGACGGCAATCTCCACTTCCATGTTTGCCATTTATATCCGTTTCTTTGTGAAATCTATTTTGTTACTTTATGGTTAATGTACCTAATTTAAACAATTTATAAAACTAAAATTTTGATATTGACGTAGTTATGTAGATAAAAAAAAACACCTCTTTTCAATTGATATTCATTCAGGTGTCATATTTCGCCACACTACATCACGTCGCTTAAAAATTAAAATTAATATTACTTGGAAAGCGCGGCCAAAATCGAAGAAACCCATTAATCTAATTCCGCCTTAAACTATCTAATATAAGTAAAAAATGTAAACAAACTGTGAAAACATATCTTTCTAGATTTACGAATTAAAAAACGATAATTCAGTTGTATTACAAAGACCAGATAATTGCTATAGGCTTGTCAGAAATGGGCTTCCCACTATTCGGATTTTGAAAACTCAATTAAAGGGGACAAAGTTTTGGTAATTGGTGCAGTCTGAAACTGTGCAGCAATTAAAAACATTCCTACTAATTTCGCAGACATCCAAAAAAAAACATATTCCTCGTTTTTTTCATCATTTGAGGATATATTTTTGAATAAATGATACTTCTAACAATCCTTTTTTGTCGAGAAGACTGCTGTAAAATTTAAGTCACTGAAAGATTTAAAAAAATATATCATGGAATTTTAGTGGGAAGTGAATTTGTGATACCAGGTGTAGATTTGCCTTCAATGTACTTTTTGATATTCCTATTTGTTTTCAGAAGAAAATAATAAAACTATTGATTTAACCAGCGTTTTAGAGATATAAATCATTTTTAAATTTTGAAGTATATTTGTGCAGAGTAAAAAGTGATGCCCCAATTTATTGTAACAGACCAAACGGACAATGAAAATACTAAAAAAACATCACCTGAGGTTGAACTTTCAGCAAAATAGCGATTATCCTTATTTGGTCATAATATCTTCAATTGCCGTATATATTGATAGTCAAAGACCCAGTATAATTAAAAAATGTTGATAGAACTAAACTGTATTTCAATACGCGTATGTTGTTCTCGTAAAAGCATTTCAACATATGAGTGTTTTTTCAGCAAAGTTTCATATGAGACTGTTGAGTCGTAATGATCGAGCAAGGGTTTGCAAGTTTCACTGAAAAATACTTTTTAAATGTAGTTTAATTGCGAAGGACAACACAAGCAAGATCAGAATAAAATGTATATGCTTACCTCTTTCCGGATTAAAGGAAACTGACAAAGGCGGGTTGCAAGATATCTATGATTTCTCCGCAGAAACTTGGAGCTTTTATCCCCGTTTCCTTTTGCTCACAGTCTTGCGCGAATGTCATCAGCACCCTATTATTTTCCGGTTTCTTAATCTATATTTCGTACGCAAGCCAGTACCTATATACATATGTCTCGAAGGAGAGATATAATCAAATCTCACATTCCATGAATTTTTGCGTTATTATCAATTATCGTTAGAACATTTCACCGCATTTCGAACGTAGGCGTCAAATCGTGATGTTTACGCATTGTTAGTTTGCCGGTAAATGCGTCAATAATAGTGCGAAGAAGAGCATTTATTTGCACAATTAATTAATACATGAAGGGGCAGCAAACTGTTAGATTTTCTTAGATACGAAGGGATTCAATTTTGTAAGAATAAGTAAAGGAATGAACATTTTTAAAGGACATGGACTGGAAAACCAGAAAAAATGTTAATATTATGTATATTATTTTTGAGTTGCTTTCTTTATGCAATTTTCTAGTTAGTTTTGGAGATGATATCTACTTACTAAAAACGAATCTTTCTGTTATGTCCATGTCCATATATATATATATATATATATATATATATATATATATATATATATATATATATATATATATATATATATATATATATATATATATATATATATATATATATATATATATATATATATATATATATATATATATATATATATATATATATATATATATATATATATATAAACTCCTTCAAACATAAGTCTTATGAAAAAATCAATTCGTTAGGAGTCTTACCTGGGCTTTTCAAATTGTATTTTGTTTAAAAAGACATACTGAAATTTTACAAAAAATAATCGAATGGAATTAATATCATTTTTTACTGTATTTTTGAATTTCAATCTATTTTAGATTAATATCCTACTACAATATTTTAATGTTCAGAAAAACATATACAACATAAAGGTCATTTTGGATTATTCCTGTTCAACACTTATCAAAATATTTAGAGCATACATAAGAGTGATGCTGTAAGTGCAGGGAACCTATACTACGTCAGAGATATAGATTTGTTGGAGCTCGTAGAGCGTCGTGTCGCACAAATACCAATTGAAGTTGAACGACGAAATACGTTGCCCCAGACTGAAGACAACTCTACTACTCTAAGAAAGCACCGACAAAGAGGAGGCTTAATCCAGACCCACAAAACTCCGCTTCGGTATCTTCCAAACAAGAGGCGAAACAATCCTCAGACTGCCTAAGGTCGGAAGCGCAAAGTCCACTTTTGCGAAACAGCAAACATACACAGTGACGTATAACATACTTGTCAGAATTGACAAACCGTGGCTAAAATCTACAGAAAACATCCGACAAGCTGACGTTTTAAATTGACACTTTTCGCACCTTATGCACTTAAGCCGTGCATAATTGCGTATTTTAGAATAGAGCGTAGAAATATTGTATCAAAAACAAAGAGAGTACACAAATTGAAGTGTCGAATTTTTTAATAATTAACGCGCTTCGAATTAGAACCCATGCTTATTTCCATTTTTTATTATTTAGCTAATATTTGACATTGGAATTACAATTATTGGATTTAAATAGACCCCAGAAACATGTTTGACATCAATTTGTCAGTACTTCTTATGTGAGATTTTAAAAATAGCGGCAGGTGTGATCCATGCACGATTAATTTTTGGAATACATACTTATAGTCGGATATCAATTCTGGACTAACCGCCATTTTATTATCCAAACAATAATCCATAATCCTTCGGATTATTGTCAGAAAATTGTGAAGTACTATAATTTCAAAATTATCCATCCCGTCAAAATACTTGTTGGCCTCAAAATAACTGACCGCGTTTGCTATTTTTCCGAAAATTGATGTTAACACAAACGTATTAAAATTCTTGGAGTTGCCTATTATTGTCAATATTTTTGTCGCCTCATTGGAGCACTGAAAATAAATTAAAAATGATAAAAAGATGCAATTTGATACAGAAAAATGTACTTACAGCCATAGCTTTATAGCGATTTGCAACATTCTCATCCGAATTATTTGTTAAAATACCCAGCAGATTTGATATAAACTTATTCAACATATCTCGAAATTGTTCTGAAATTGTTTCTGCGTTACAAATTTGTCGGAAAGAATCTTTCAAAAGGTCGAATTTTTGAGGCACACTGTAGATTTTTTCCGATTTTAAAGAAGCAATTAGGAAGTGCAAGATATCTGAGAAGATTTCTTGCACGACAAGTACCAGATTGATTCCTGTCTGGTCGAAAATTTTTTGAAATTCGCTTTGGAAGTTCACAGTTACAAACTTCCCCGCGTGCGTATCACTTGTCAATTTATCTAGTTGGCAAAAGTCAGCAAGATCTTCCGTTCTAATTAAGCACTCGCTATCGCCAAGACATAACAATTTAGTTGCTCTTTTTAAAAATTCCGCTAGCTCTTTGAAATGATCATCCTCTGCGTCAGCCTCGCTAGCTACCGACGCACTTTCTAGGAATTGCACAGCTTTTAATAACGACATATTCAGTATTTTACTTTGCGACACCGCAAGTAGATTACAATGTTTACTAATTCAAAATGGTCAAATGCAATTTTGTCAACAAGCTTTTAATAATTTCGTCGCCAACATAGATGCTAAATGCATAAGTAGCATTGCAACGATTTAAATTTATTGGTTCTTGTTGTTATTGATTGTTACTGTACAACAGCTACGTATATTAATTTATTTAATAGGCATATGAGTTTTACGTTTTCATGACTGATTTAAAATTTAATTTTTAAAATTTGTTATTACTGGTATAACTCCTGACGCCCATTTTTATTTTACATATTTCATTGCATATTTTGGCTTTTCTTTGGTGATAATTTTGTGAGAATATAATTTCCACCGAAATGCAGACACAAATTTGCAGATTCATTGTTTGCTTCTTATCTCAATTTAAAAAAAAGCTTTTATGACATAACTGATGATAACGCAGCGATAACGCAATATTAGTAAAAATGTTCTAGTCTGCAGCCCCTCATATTTACGTCTTTTTTTTGGTAATATTGTTTTAAAGGCTTGCTACAATAAAGAAGAAGAATATGAACCACAAAACAAACGTTACCTGCTTACCAAACCTATTGTTTAGTGGTCTGTGATGGAAGTACGAATTTCGACATAACCGCAATATTTAAGAAGCTTTTAGTTTCACTATTTAGTTTGTATGTGGAGGCGCCCTACAACACCGAATGAGAATCATGTAGTTAAAATAATAACTATTTGAATAAAATTACGGCAAAAATGCCTCAACTTAAATTACCGCAAAACAATAACTCAAGCCCTGCAGACGCAAGCGACAATGAAGTCTCCGGGAACGATTCTGAACGTTCAAACACAAGTCACGAAAATGAAGGCAATCGAGAATCCTCAGAAGATGAACCGGACTCGGACGATAGTTCCGAAATGGATGAAGGGGAATGTGAGACTCGTAGAACAGAACTTATCCAACATGTCCAAGATTTGGAAAATCAGTTTAGTTTGTTACGAGAGCAGCTTTATCGTGAAAGAATACAACAAGTAGATACCCAACTTGCGGAAGTAAAAGCAGGTAAATCACCAGACTATCTTCTTCCACTGCAACAACTAGAAGAAAACAGACGTACTAGAACAGAGGTGGCTGGTATTTTAAAACAGCTCCGACTTGAAAATATCAATAATCACTATGATGCGGAAAAGCAAGCAGCCTTGCAAAACTTTGAGAGTGAAAAAAATTTAGCTAGTGATTATTATTTCAGTGAATTAATGGAAACAATAAGAAGGCTTGAAGAAGACAAACAAAATAGTGAAATTACTTGGGGTGAAGGAGGAGAGTGGAGTATGAGATCTCGATCTCGGTCCAGAAGAAAAGCTGTTACAGTTTCTGGTCCATATATAGTGTACATGCTTCGACCACAGGATATCATGGAAGATTGGACTATAATTCGGAAAGCTTTGAAGAGAACTTTATAAAGTGTTTTTAAACTCTATGATGAGTTTTCTCTTCTCAAATGATTTGTAATACTGTAAATTATTATACTCTTTAGTACAATAAACTGAGAAATATGTATCAAAATTTTCAATTGTCTGTAATCTGAGCTTATGCAATTGAACCCAGAGTGTAAAGATTTTTGTGGTGCTAAGAGAAATTAATTACCCATGTCAACCCACCCATAAATTTGGCAAATGTGACAATGCACTATTTGTTGAGATTTTAACATAAAGGAATGTTGGGTAAATAAAACAAAAGTTCAATAAAAATACATTGGAATAATTTGAAACACTAGCCTTTTTTACATATCTTACATCTTAGCAATCTAAAAATTTAAAATTTATATTAGTTATTCTTTTGAAGGGTTCTCTAGTTCCTGCTGACTAAAGTTGTCACTGATAGATTCCTGTTTTAAAGTAGAAGCCATATTTTCATCAAAATTCAAAATGGGTTCAATTTTTTGTGGTAATAAATGTTTAATTGGATCGATAATCAATTCTTTATTCAAAAAGGAAATTTTTTCTTGTTGCAAAGTTTGTAAATTTATACCGAGATGACTAGCAACCTGGCTTGGCGGATAAATTATGTGAATGTACTTTTGAATATGGGGTATCAAATCATCAGAGAAACACATTAATAACCTTGTGAAAGCGTCTTTTGAGTAGCTGCTAAATGCCAAGTGTTCTTGAGAATATAGTTCCAACAGTGACTTAGCGATGAAAATTAAAGATCTTTGTAAAGAGTTAACAATGTCCATAAGAACTGCAAAGGGAGCACACAGTCTAAGTTCATTTAAGCTTTTCAGCACATGATTCAAATATTCTCCCAATGGATAGAATTCTAACAAACTATCTGGGGGATGAAATGGATCATCCATCCTGCTTTTCCAAGGTATGTTAGGTAAAGTCTTATTAATCAAAGTAAATTTTTCTATATTCTTCTCAAAGTTGATCATGGCTTTCGATATGGAATTGTTAAATTTTTCAGTCAATTGTGTCGTAAAAATAGGAACTAAGAGAGGCCTAAAATCACAACCTACTTTGCTAAATGACAACCCAAAGTACATACACTGATCCATAATGGATTCCATTGATGAGATGTACTTTAAATCTTCCTGTAATATTGATAGGAAATCTTCAATCTACAAATGCATACATGAAAAAATAATTAAAACAAAATCTACTATAATTACCCTATCATGTATCCAAGAATAAAACACAAGATTCTCGTTTACACTATGTTTTGCTGAGTTTATTTGTGTGACTGAAATATCAGCAAAAACAGCTCTATAATGTGTTATAATGTTAAACAAATTCACCCTTGTCAATTCAATGGTCTTTGCTAGGTGGTGATTTCCTAAAATTAGCAGAATGGTATAACAGTCTACCTATAATGAAAAATTTCTCAGAAATCTCTTACTATCATCTGTAGGAATGTAGGCAACACACTGCTGTAACCACGAGCCTCTAGCTTGTAAAAATTTTAATTTTAGTTCTACTTCAGTAAAAACATCCATTCTTCTCAAATAACCGACAATTTCTAAACATTTTGGCAGAGTCAAGTCTTGTCTTAGTTGCAATAAGAGTTGATGCAACATCAAGAACCAAGCATCTTCAATATCTTCCAAAATTGTCTGAGAAAATAAGGCATCTCAGTTTTTGTATAAAGTAGTCACCACAATACTTTCATTCAACTTACATTGAAAATGGCAACATCTGGAAATTTAACGGCAAGTCTTCGTACATATGCCGCTAGTTCCAGTGCATCTTCATACATTTTGTCATCGATAAATGAATTCATCAACTGTGGCAACTCCAAAACTTCCAACAATTGGGAATTTTTTGTTAATGTTAAAGAATTTAATCTTCTCAAATTGTTAATACTACTTGAACTTTCTGTAAAACTGTGACAGTGAATTTCAAATGCTGGTATATTATTTAGAAGCTCATTCAGTTTAACTTCAATCAAATTAAAATGGCTAGACAGCTGTTTTGAACATTGTGCAGTTTCAATGAATGTTTTATAATTTGTAACAGCTAACTCTTGAGTCTGATCATGAATATCGTTACTATCTTTAGTCAGACGCTGGGGTTCTTTAACTAGATCTTCTACTTTATAATTTCCGACTTTATTTAGATATTCATTAAAGCTTGATTTGTAATCCCAATCACCTATGAACAAAATCGTAAGAACAAACCTATTTATAACTAATCAGGTACATACTTGGGTAGCCATTGGGAAAAAGCAAATTTAAAAGTTTTTCTCTTTCAACACTCATGACTGGAGTAAAATATTTTCAAAATTATATTTGTTAAGGTTATAGATTATTGTTCATTCGTGTCATAAATCCGCATTCTGTTGATCACAGACATAAAATACATCTGAAATGATGCCTTTACACCGGCAACACATTATACACATCTAATAAAATTAATTTGCAGTTTTGATATAAATTGCACAACTAGGAGATTTAAAATACTCACGTCTCTCACAATGGACACACAGTTTTAACCAAAAAAAGCTCAATATTGCATAGTTGACGAATTTAATTACGAAAAAAAAATGCAAAGCTTTACGGCAACTAAGTAAATCTGTTTCATTTAACAATTATTAAGGGAATAAATATCACCGTCTGATTTTATAATAATTGAAATCATAGCATTAGTTTCTAAGTAAACATTACTATCAATGCAATGCGTCGGTTGTTGATAAATCTAAGTTTCAGTTCTGCTCAGAAGAAGCCAGCAGGATGACTAGCGCAACGTCAGCAAGTTCAATTTATCAACAACCGACACAGCAGGCATCCAGAAGATATGTAAATTGTCATTTTAATACAGGGGTTAGATAAAAGTTGGGCAACCGGCATACATCTCAGGAATTATTGGATTTAAATTCATTAAATTTAGTATACCAGGCTTTCTAATTCGACTGGATCCAATGGTGGCATATTGCCACATTTATGGTTTTTTCCTAAGTTACCAAACTTTCTTATTTTAAACAGAAAGGGCATGCTTTTATTACATTTTTGGAATGCTCTTAAAAATCTAAGCATTTCTTCTGTATATATACCCTGTACCCAAATTCAATAGTTTTTGTATGTATGACAAAAAAGACAATATTTAATGATTTAATGAATAAACTAGAATTTAATTTATCAAAGACATAATTATTGATTTCAACTAAAACTCTTTAAAAATAAAAAAAGTTAATTCGTTTAATAAATGCTTAAGCTAACATCCTTCTGTTACTTGACAATGTCCAACGCGATCTGTACATTCCCATACGAATTGAAATGTTAACGATGGTCGGTTATCAACTATAGATAATCCACAAACTTCGAACACAATTAGCTGCAAATAATAATTCAGTCAGCCATTAGTTATTTTATAAAAATTAAGTGTAAATCGTGTAAGGTACATCTCCTTCGGGAATTGTCTGAAGATGATCCAGATTGGTGGATCGAATTTTGTGGTCGTGTTATGGATGAATCGATTTTAAATCCAAATTTATAATTTTATATTCTTTTTCGGATGAGGCGACTCTTTGTTTGAAAATCCTCAAATGCTAAATTTATGGCTTGGAATAATTGGGTGCGAATACTATAGGGCCTTTTCTCACCGGTGAAAAATATTATACCCTTTTAAGGGCGCAAGGTATCTTTTCAATTAACTTTGCATTATCCGAACAACAGAAATGGAGAACTAGGGATGATTGATACCCGCGCATGCTTTTAACAAGATAGGGCACCTCCCTATTAAAAGAGTACCTGAATCAAATCGGTGGATCGGACGCAGAAGAGCTATGGACTATGCTTCACCAAGATTTATTTCTTTGAGGTCAAATTAAAGTGTAAAAAAAAACCAGCACCTTGGCTAACTTCGAAGAACGGATAGGAGTCGAAATTCGAGCTATAACACCGAATGCTCTCCAAAACACCGTACGGGAATTCACAGACTGCTTACGACATTTTCAAACAGCAGACAGACGTCAGTTTGATCATTTCCTAAAATAAGTACTTTCTTTTTTGTTTTTAAATAGTTTTTATTGTTATTTAAGTTTATCAATGCGTTAAAATCAATAATTATATAGTTTATAAATTAAATTCTAGTTTATTGATTAAATCGTTAAATATTATAATTTTTTGTCATTCGAGCAAAAACGGTTGAATTTGGGAAAAATACTTTTTTAGGAGCAATCCTAAAATGGAATAAAAATATACCCTTTCTTTTTGAAATAAGAAAGTTTGGTAGCTTAGGCAAAATTACATAAATGTGGCAACGTCGTCTATATAGATGGTGATGGTGATATACCATTGGATCCAACCGGAATAGGCACCCAAATACCCAAAACCCGTACACCAAAGATCATGAATGTAAGTCTAATAATTCCTGAGATGTATGACCGTTGCTCGCCTTTGACTAACCGTGTACATACTTAAAATACATTAAGAGCCCTATATTATATATTCTGCCATATTTTAAAAATATTCTGCTAAATGCAGCGTTGCCTGATCTATCCGAAACCGCACGTATAATACCGATTGGTTTCTTATCCAAAATGTTAAGTAATGATTGGTTAATTGAAATGGCACACAAAAAAATCATTTATAAATATTATGAATTCAAAGTGCACCTACTTTACCGCACTTTTTGGGCTATCGGGAGGGCTGAAAGAATGTAGCGCTATGAAAACTTGGTCCAAGAAGCGAAATTTGTGCCTTGACTGAATTATACAAAGATTTTTATTGCAGCCTAGTTTGAATATCGTGAGGCTTCTGTAATCACAGCGTGGGACGAGAAATGATATATATGTTGTCAATTGGTCGAAGATTTTCGCGTCTCGGTCGAGATGCAGTGGTAAAACCGTAAAATGTGCTATCTCGCTTCCTTCCTTTAAAATCCCGGAGTAACTTTGTAGTTGTCGAGGTTCAACCATAATGCGATAAAATGTTAACCGCTAATTCATTGACTAACAAACTTTTGTACCGCGAGAAAAAAAAATCAATTTTAATAATTGTATTGGAGGCTTTTTCATAAAAGAGAACTCCACTACAAGCCCTTTCTGATGACAATATATATCATCAGTTCGCGAACTCCGATTGCCATGGCGAATAGAATGAGCTCGAAGAGATTCCTGTGTTAACATTCAATAATTTAAATTCACTAAAAGGAAATCTTGTGTTGTTGCAATGTTGGTAAAATTATACCCAGATCACAAGCAACCTGGTTTAGTGGATAAATCGTGTGAATGTTGAATGTGAGGAGTCATCAGAGAAACACACTCGACATGTGTAGCACTCATATTAGCAAATTATGTATTCCTATAATATACATTTTTCGCCTTCCTTAATTCATATTCCAAATATTTTGGCATACTTGCATGCTGAAAAATTTATGGCTACATAAGGTTTATCATTTTTTGTCTATCTGTAGGATCTCGTTTTCTATCCGTTTCTACCCCTTGGCCGTCATATATGCAGTGACGTACTCAGTAAGAAATCCGCAAATAAAATAAAAGTTAGAAAAATACTTTTAGCCAAAGCTTTTTAAAAACTGCGTGAATATTTGGAATAGGTTTTTCATATTTTGACATTTGATAGATACACATTTTCTAGTTTCAAAAACTTTAAATTTAATTTTAAAAAATAGAATGTTTTTTAGTTGAAATGCTTTCCGAGTAGGTACGTATAGCATTCTGGTTCCCAGAAGCAGTACAGACTGGACAATATTTAAAACAGATATGAATCTTGGTAAAAGCAAATCTGAGAGATTTGTGCATTTATAAATTTATTATAAAAAGTGAGGGACATATGTCACATAAACACTAACAACTAATTTACAGGTATAAAATATTATTGTATTTATTTTTTCATCGCTTACATGGACATTATTGGGAACACCTATATACTTTTTCTTGACACCCTCCGTCACTAACCGCTGCCGGTAAATAATCACAAACTATTTAGCTTATTGCTGTTATGTTCATTTTTAATGTCCATTTCTTGTTGACTCTTAGCTTTGAATATACCTACTCATCGAGCTCTACGATTTTTAGCATACCCATTAGCTCTTTTAGTAGAATTATTCGAAAAGAGTAAGTTAACAGTGACTTCGACGCTTCCCACGCGAAAGTTATATCTTTCTCTTTCTCAGACTTGCAATTAATGGTAATCGATTGCGTTATTGATTCCTCTTGGCTTGCGATGTAATGGTATGTAGAGTTGCCACCAAATTAAAAACAATAGTTCATAAGTTTCCAGCAATTCCTGGCGCTGTCACTGTGCTATAACTGGTGCCGTGCGGAGGGAGTCTTTTATCACGCACTTCTCTCCGCACCGTCGCAATGTCGTTGACTCTTTTCGGTTTCTCCCTTTCCTACTCTGCTCACTCTATGAGTTCCGAATGTTCGTATGTAGCAACCAAATCTATTCTTTTCCTGAAACAAATTTGTCCTACTGCCAGGAAATATACAAAATTTTTGCACACCGCCTGTATCTAAATTTTTGTTGATGAGCTAAAATATGGTTTTTAGTCGTTACTTCCTATTAGAAGATTGTTTAGGTATAGATATGATTGAATTAGTCAAAACTGCCAGTGAAATTAGTTAGCCAGTTTACGTTAATAAGGCTTTTTAATGAGCTTAGAAAATTGATCAACTCGACCCCAAAGGAAGAAGTAAAAAGTAATAAAAAGTAGCTTAGTTCTGCTTTTTAAAAAAAATTAAGTTCTTATTGAGAATTAATTTTCTTTACGGTTGTATATACTATTGTCGAAAACGTTGACCATTCTGACAATCCTAAAGGTTTAGAGTACACCTGATGAAATTATTTAGGGCGGTAAGTAAAACGAATGAATGTTTTTCTTAAAAGTTTCTTCGGTAGTCTCAAATCTGATCCTATATATACATAGCGGACGTTTAAAATTCGACGAGACACAGTGCGGTTAGGATAGACCAAAAGTTTGGTCGAGGTGATCCTAAAAATATCATTTAATAAAATTGATAAATGTAACTTTAGCCACGAGCTCAAACCAACGTCAATTTAACAGTGAGGGCTTCCTTGCTTGAAAATCCCGGAGTAACATTGTAGTTGTCGAGTTTCAACCAAGGTTCTTGGTAAAAGCAAATCTGAGAGATTTGAGCATTTATAAATTTATTATAAGAAGTGAGGGACATATATCACATTAACACACTACCATTATCATGTGGGGTTATTGAAATTCTAACAACTAATTTACAGGTATAAAAAATCTGTTATACACCTCTAAATTGAGGGCGTAAAATAAGGCACAAATTCCATAAAATTCAAAATTGGTCATTTTTTTATTTAAAGATGCAACAACATGAATTTCTAGTTTAATAGCAACATATGTTTGTGGCACATGATTTGAAAGCTCCTATTTCACACAGTATGTTCTTAAATTTAGGCGCGAATCCATTTTTGAATTTAAAAATCTATTACGCCCAACGAAAAGTTCATTTGAGCTGCAGAAAATTGAGAGTATACTTAAACGAATTTGATTTGATAATGTTTGAATAATTTTGAACAACTATAACTTGGAGAATACATACAACTAATTATTGTGCTGGGTGAGGCTCTATATAAACGCAACAATTTTAAAGCGTCTGCTACATACAGCCAAATAGAGGTGCCAGTTAAACATAAACGACCCAACAGCCCTATATCAGTTGCCTGCCGCCTGCGCCCGCAGCAGGATTGTGTTACACGGCAGGATTTTTAATGAAAACGAACGCCGCCGCCCGACGCATTCCTGCAGACATGTAGTTTATCGGAAATGACACCACGTGGCTGGATTGCAACAATCGCATAGTACAAAACACGAAAGTTCCGAACAATGTGATATTTCTACGTAGTTTTACTCTGAATTATTTATTGGCAACCCCTAATTTTCAACAATGGTGGACCAAGACAGTTCTCCGGACCTTTCTCTCAAGCTCAGGCGGGGATCTAGCGATTCTAGAGAATCGTTTTATATGGATTTCGATAGGGGTATCGACTCCGATATTGAGGAAATGGCTACTACGTCTGGAGCCGATGTTGGAGGCGATACCACGGGAGAGATCACCATTACCCCCACCACCATAGGTACAAAAATCGAAGGATCGAGGTAGGTGTTTGCTTATTAATTTGTTTCAATTAATTGACATTTCATGCTATTGTAGTTTCTAAGTTTACCATTATATGCGTATAAATAAAGAAAAAAAATTAACGATAAAAGAATGTTTTAAAGGCCATCGAAAACTGTTTCTTGAGACCTCTAGAGGGCTTCCAAAGTGCAAATCTTAAATTTTTAATTGAATAGCTATTAACAATTTTTCCATTTAAAATCACAGATTTAATCAGAATGCTTGAAAACTATAATTTGCATAATATAATGAGTTTTTAATTAGTTAAATAGAGTGGTACTTTTTCACCCAGAATATCATAGAAAAATAGACATAAAGGAATATGCAACAATTTTTTTAAAGAAAAAAATCACAACAATCCGTTTAATTTAGGTATGGAACTTGTACGGGTTTGTATACAGATAAAGGTAGACGACCCGTAAATTGTAAGCTGCAGTTTTTTTATTGATTGCTGACAGTGACGTTTCGCTTCTCAGTAAAAATATTAAGATAGAAAAGAAAATCACGACTCCTTGGACAAGTTTTGATTCTTGAGGTCAGGTGTGTAACCAATTATAGTGATTTTTTGATAGCTTGAGTCGAGACCTAAGAATCACTCAAATTCGAGTGGTAGGATTTTAATTCCTCATACAAAAATTGGGCAAGTAAGCCGTGATTGCCATTTTCTTCTAGAATATATCTAAGGACAAGTAAAAATTAAATTAAAAATGTTTGCAATTGGCATTCTTCGCAACGTTAATTCATCTAATTTTTCTACTACGATACAATAGTTACAAAATATATTATCAATTTGATCAACGTATAATAGAGAAAATACAAAAACAGGCAAAAAGAATTAATAAAAGACCCCTGTGATTTACAAAAAATGGAGAATTAGAAGAATGTAGAATATATTCACTTGTATTATAAAAGAAATCCCGCAATACCAGAAAGCAGTATTAGCAACTCTAGCAAATCTGTAGTTCTGATAGTTGCATCGAAACCTTTTTTATAGGGAGGATAAATGGATATGATCATATATACCTATACATGGTAGTTTCCAATTAAAGTCGGACATTCAAAATTCATGGTGCATTCAGAAACTTTGTTAGTACATTAAAATAGTGCCTCGATTAACATATTCAGACTCATTCATCATTTGATATATTTTCAAGCGGGTTTGCTACAAGTTTGAGTGATGTCGGACCAGATTTATTGGCTCAATTAGATAATTGCGGCGTCATTTGCATATAGCGGGTCACCCTTTTAGAATGGCAAACCAAAAATGTCACTGTCTGAATTAGTGTACGTGTTTGCGGATCGTGGATCATTAAAATGGCAGAGAGGTAAGGCTAACATTTCTTACCGCTTTGATCCATCCATCCTAAAGGACGCAAATCAGACCCCTATATGTTTATAGTTTATTTCTACTGCCACATAAAAAGTTCCAAAGAGGTACTACATGAACTCCAATTTCTAGTCTAGACTTGAAAGAGATCTGATTAATAGCGCCTTTCATAGGGCATGCAATGCTTCTAAACGTGTTAATAATGTTTAACCAATTATCATCCATTTACAGTTGGCCAACGATCCCACCGCAAAATGTGAGCGGAGGCAGTCGAAGCAGCGCTGCCATGTTAGGGTACGCCGATCCGCTTTTACCTTCTCCAGCCTCCCCCAGTGCGGTTATAGTCTCTCCGGAAACGCTAAGCCGGTCATCCCCTACAAAATCCACTGCCAAGCATCTTACGGGACACGCGGTGCATATTCAGAGCCATAAGTAGGTGTCTGTTTAATTAAATAAATTTATTAAAAACGCTTTAAAAAAAATTAAGGTTACATAGTATTGGATATTCGCATGCAATAAGCTTTGCAAAATAACGGAACAGCCAACAACGAAACAAACAAAATCGAGGGACTAAATGTTTAACAAAGTTTATAATTTTTTTTTATGAGATATGTTGAAAAATTAAAAACCGATTCCGATAGGAGATGCGAAAAAAAGTTTCATACAGAAGTTTTTTGGACTCTCCTGAAGATTTAAAAGATTATAATTTTGTTGCTATAGGGTGTCTCAAAAGTGTTCCTTCTGACATCCACTTTGTTATTTTAAATGGCATGCCCTATATATATCGACATTTTCGGAATCCTTGGTTAGAACAAAGGTCACTTTCTTTAGAAATTCCTATTCGAATTTTGCATAGTTTATGCAGAAATTGAGGTTATGTGTTTTTTTTTTTTAATTTTGATTGTCTCATATAAAATTGTGTTGTGCGCTACGGATTTAGGTATTGCAACGAAAATTTAACCACAGACTAAGGAGATGATACTCAATCAGTTTGACAGATGCTCCTCAGTTTATACATTGTGTCCAAAATAAGTGGTGCCGTTATGGCGAATTCAATTAACACAATCTCAAGATTTTCAAATGGAACACCCTATATTTTTATTCAGATATCAATTCTAGGCCAAGAAACAAAGTAAGTTTGTAATTTATCTTATATTTAAATTTTACTTAATTTTGAGATATTCGACGTTTAAGATAACACCCGTATAAATTCTTATTGAATTTAAAGCTGCCACATTAGGTCACTTGTTAGCAATATTTTTGAAATAGCATGGACACGATACTACTTCTTTTAAAGATATAATACTCCAGATATACGAATAAAACCTATTGCTAACAATATAAGGTGTCTATTAATACGTGGAGATTTTGAGAAAAAACGACTCTATACTACACATTTTAACAGATTTAATAAAACTTCAGAATTCACATTTAAGGAAACAAATAAAATATATACTACCAATGAACTTGACAACTATAAACTTTTTAAACAGAAATATGAAAATCAACAAAAACAGAAATGTCTAAGTTTGTGTATACCTTAATGCATCAAAAAAAAAAATAGTGATGTCTTAGCCAATTACATTTTTAAATATTTAAATATTTTGACATTTCTTTATTGTTTTGATGCCAGATGAAACGAGGATTTTAAGAGGAACATTTTAAACTAAACTTTATGGACCGAATTAACGAACTCTTTTTAGTTAACTTTTTTTCATAGATTTATTTATTCAAATTTGTTACGTTGGTTAGTTTTGGTTAGTTTCAATCACGCTAGATAATTAACCATTAAATGTTTCTTTAAATATGAATTCTGAAGTTTAATGAAATCTGTATTGTAAGCAATAAGTTTTATTCATATATCTGGAGTATTATAACTATGAAAGTAGTAGGATCATGTCTTTGCTACTTAAAAAATACCTAATATTGCCACCAAGTGACCTCATGTGCGCAGCATTAAATTCAATTTTTTATCTTAGAATTAATATCTGAATAAGAATATAGGGATTTTGTTGATTGAATTCGCCAAAACGGTACCACCGATTTGGGACACCCTGCATAAGCTGGGGCGCATCTGTCAAACTGTTGCATCATCCACTTAGTCTGTGGTTAAATTTTTTTTGCAATACCTGAATCAGTAGCGTCACAACACAATTTTATATGAAAAAAAAAACACATAACCTCATTTTCTGCCCAAATTATGCAAAATTCGAATAGGAATTTCTTAAGAAAGCGACTTTTATTTTAACCAGGGATTCCAAAAATTTCGATATATAGAGGGTGTTCCATTTAAGATACCAAAGTTGATCCCGGGGGGGACACGTTTGGGACACCCTGTATCAACAAAATTATAATATTTTAAATCTTCAGGAGAGTCCAGGAAACTTTTCTTCCAAACTTTTTTTCGTATCTCCTATGGGTTTCCAGATCGTATAGTGGGTCGTTTTACTTGGCAGACGGTGTACATGGTTCTTATACACTGTACACTGTATCAGGTCGTAATTAAAATAAATACTTGCTTTTTATACACTGTACACTGTATCAAGTCGTAATTAAAATAAACATGTCGGAAGGGAATTATATATGGTAAGACCGCAAAATGGACAATAGTATATTATGCAAGAACTCCAAAAACAGTCCACTTTAGTGAGTGAATGAAGAAGTTTATCAACTTGTTGCATACCATATTTTTCGCAACAGGAGGAAACACTCACTGACGGGACCATCAAAACTGACCAACTACAATCTATCATTAGGTACTTCCAATCTGTGGTCACGTTTCAAAGCGACACTTTCCGCAGCCTTGATAAGTGCCTAACTGGGTAGGGTACAGTAGGAAATAGAAAAATTACATTTTCACATTTGTCTACAAAAAATATAAAAAAGTCTTCACTATCTTCTGTTACTACTATTTTTGTGGCACATATTTGCTATTATGCGGACAATTATGTATTTATAAATTTATATCAGTGCACATCAACCTGTTGAGTGGACTGGAGACCGCAAAAATCAATAGATACAATTGGTTGAACCCGATTTTTGCCTAGCAACGAAATAATTTATGTCCTGCACTGTTGTAAAAGTTTATTTTGCCCGTTTAAGTTAATTTTCATTTGAAACATTTCAAAAATATTTGTCGACCTACGAGCAAACATGGGTGCTAATTTAGGATACAAGGTGCTTCTACAGTGGGACATTAGTAGGGCATAAGGAGCAGTTAATGGATTAGAGCTTCAATATTTAAGTACAAAGAAGTTTACAGACGTCAAAACTTTGTTGATAATGGCATGCCAAAAATTAAAAGAAATTTTTGTTCTATAATGATGAGTATAAGGTATTGTGATAAAAAACTGAAGTAAGAAACATTCGAAAAACATTGAAATTCATATTTCGTACAAAAAAAAAACTTCCACATGCTACTGTATTACTATTTACAGATCTTCTGGATTCCGTCGGTTGTTAATAAATCGAACTTGCTGACGTTTCGCCAATCATTCTTCTGAAGAATCTAGAAGATTTGTAAACAGTTATGGATTTTTCCATTTTTTTTTCTTATGTTTTACGGATAGCTTTGCTTGAAATAATGATTTTATTATTACTTTTTAAAAATGGATTTCTTATAGGAAATTTGATTGTAAAAAAATCTCTGCTTGCATGGAAAGTGCATATTTTTCTAGTTATGCCATAAAAATGAAAAAAAAAATCTGAACCCGAACTCTTATCACGCCCTAATTTTTCGTAAAGTATTGCCACAAATTACAATACATTTTTGGAAAAGTTTTTCTCATTATTTTAAAGCATTGCGGACATACCCAGCGAAATATGTCAAACTTGCATAATGTACTGTGGTATGAGGTAAGCTTTATTAAAGGGTACTTTTCTTTTTCAACCTCCTGTTGCAAGTTTTGAAGATGTGAACTTTTCGTTTGTGAGGTAAGAATTCTATTCCGAACATTATTCTTAATTCATTTCGACTTTGTTTATACGTCGAACTTCTACTTCACATTCCATTTTATCATTCCTGTTCTGGACACCGCGGTGCCGTCCTTTTTTAACTTACCATAAATTGTTTTTATCAAATTTTGGTAAAATGTTCTGTTCTAATTATTCCTTTTCACCAAGACCGCTTTTTTTGGTAGTAGTGTGGTAGAAATGCGGATTAATAATTTACTACCTAATAATAAACTTTGTACTTAAAATATTGAGCGGGTAACTTCCCATTCCTCTCAGCTTACGTAGCGTAAAATATTTGATGCGAGGCTCAAGTTACGTTTTTAGATACGTTTTTTCCTACTGGTTTATCAACGTTTCCGTCTAACGCCGCTGCAGCAATTTTGTCGTAATTTTGTCCCATTTCAATTTCCGCTTAGTACTTAACTAAACGTAATATCGCATTTCCATTTTAGGACAATTTCGACGGCCCCGTTAACGATATCAGGATATTACTACCATCAGCAGCAGTTTCCCGTAATTCGCCGCCTGTCCAGAGCGGAAAAACAAGTCGAATGGAGACAACTAGGAGCGTAAGTTCACATTTAAAATATAAACCCGATTCTACTTAAGCTTTTGTTCCATGTTCCATATTTTGTTCCTTTGTGACAAGCCACTTAGACAAAAACTGCAGAATAATTCTTGTAATCGAAAATTGGAATTGGAATTCGTCTTGGTGACTGCCTCACTTAAAAAAAAATTCCCACAAACACAGCTGTTTACAACTAAAGTTTAAAACCGAAATTTATTTCTCCAAAAATAAATCTTTCCAATGATAAACAAATGTCACAAAAAAATTATTAGGTACAATTCTATATAAATAATATTGAAAAACACTTTTCATTAAAATCAATATTGAATTATATTATGCGCATGAATTTTTTCTCCCCAGGTCTTCATGCCCGTAATAAATAATCTACAAAAGTTTGTATTTTCCCCTACATTTTCTTTTTTTTTACTTACTATCGTTGGTTTTAAATATAATTATATCAAATATTATGCTGTAAGTATGACAAGTGTAAAAAAATACACATTTTAAAAGTTTATTGAAAAATAGTGTACTAAAATAGGCAATTTTGTCCGTTTCATCAAAAAGATTAAAATATTTGTCTTAAAATCTTTTCTGATAATTTGATAACTTTTTAGCTTTTTTTTTCTGGTGTTATTTTAAGTACTCCGTTTGGTTTCGGCGAACTCACCATCAACTTTTTTTTTATATCGTCCGTGAAAATGCTACGCCATGTATATAGAATTTTTAATTACGACGCAATATGATTCTACATTGTTTAAAAAAAAGGGATTTTATTAAATTATATACCTATCCTTTTTTAGAGTTGTTGGTTCTTTTTTGCAATACAAATTGGAACGTGCTTTTTCATCTGAGAAGTTCGATAATATATCTTTAGATATAGTAACGCCGTTGAAGCTGAGCGTGCAAGAATAAAGAAAATTATATTTAGTAACGATTTTTTGAGACTGAGGATCAACTGACAATGCTAGTTCTTGAATCCTTTCAAAACATTACAAATGATATGCAGAGAAATGATTTAAATTCGACAGTTGCAAGGTGTTATCCGTGTTTCTTTTTAAGTAACTTGTTTCATAAATTTTAGCTATCATTTCATTTTTATGTTTTATTTAAAAAAAAAACATTTTTTATTATTTAAACAACATATAATCATATTGAGTGGTACATCGTGGTAGTCGTATTAAAAAAAACTATTTAATACATGTTCTTTTTTCCTCATCAAGTTGATGATAATTTCACCGAAGCGAAACATCGTAATTAAAATCTCTAAAACGCAATCAAATCAAAATATCGCAACAAGAAATTGACCTTCATTTTTTTATATCTATTTAAATAACACCAGAACAAAAATAAAGTCGGAATCAGCAAATTTCGTTTTTTTTTTACTTTTAAAGTTTACTACTTTTTTCGAAATTAACCATCTTCGTATTTATTATGGTTTTCAATATTCTTATCTTGAACACACTGTATTTTCAATTTTCTGAAAATATTTTTAAAGATAAGTACGCTATTTAAGAGAAACAAAAATCATTTGGAATTAATATAATCACGTAGCTTCACATTTCCTGTCGATGATCCAGTTAAGACGGACCTTTCTCCGAAAATTCAGTCGAAAATCAATAAGAAGGGAGACGCAGCCGTAACGAGGGGAAACGAAGGTAGTGACAAATCTTCGTTGGGCAAGTGTACCACACACTTCTTTCAAAACATCACGGCCATATAGAAAAAATAAATAAATTCATATAAATCTTAAATTAAAATTTAACGACTTTTGCCATTTCCGCCAATATCTGGAACAGTTCAAAAATCAGAAATGAAAAATAAACTCTTCAGATGGAAGTAAATAAAAAAGTGCGAATTGGGATTTGATCAAATGAAATAAATGAAATAAAACATAGAGTTGATTTCAAGGCTTTGAACTTTTGAGTTTTTTTGCTTCAGAGACGCGCTCGCGACCACACTGTCGGCCCTCTACGGGAAGCTGCTGGTTGTCATGGGTACGGCGTTTCCAATGGCCGAAGTCATCTCCACGTATATTCCACCGTCATTTTACGAAGCTTACTACCTCTACCTTTACATAGGAAGCATGTTTTTCCTGTTGTATATGTACACAGTTCTACTCAGGGACAAACGAAAGTTGAAAAAGAAAATTCGCGAAAAAGTCAACAGTGAGTACATTTTATTTTAATTTTTCGTTGAAAACCGTATTACTTCTAAAAAAAATAGTGGCCAAGTGTCAGTTCTACTTGTAAGTATTTCACGAAACTTTTTACGAGTTTTTCTGAAAGGTACGATTTTTTGAATGCAGCAGACACTCGCTGCGCCCGAACCAAAACAAACTCGCGACTAAAGAGTCGTTTATTAAACTTGTCATATAATATACTATTAAATAGGATTGTACTCTGCTTTCTCTTGCAAAATTGACTAGTGCACATAGTCGTGCTATTAGAAAAAAAAAGGTAATTTTGCAAAGTTGGATATCAGCGTCATTGACAAATTTGACAATCTAGAGGCTGCTCAAATGTTCTCTCCTCTATCTTCTGAAAGAAACCAATTCTACCATATCGTGCATTTTTTCTCGGGATTCATTGGGCTGTTTATGGCACAATTATAAGCGTTCGCAAAGTCCTCGGAATTGCTGAGCACCCCTATTATCCGGAAAATCCCGGGAGAATGTACCGAAGTTTTCATTCTGTTTTTTGCTTCCTCGAGCCTTTGTTGGCCGCACCAGACTTGAGCGAAGTTTAAAAAGAATAACTGCCTTTGTGTCAAGTTTAAGCCTGGAAGTGAAAAGACGAGGGTGGTGTATTTATTTAGGGATTTTTTAGTGGGTATTAAATATGCCGCCTTTTATAAATGCTATACTTAATGAAGATCGTAAAAAGTTTTCCGAGGAGCAATCGTTTTTATAAGAAGGAATGCGAAAATCATACCTGGGAGGGATTCGTCAGCATCGGGGTGCTTCGAAAGCCACGTTTCGTAAGCTCTGAACGACTGTTTAAGTCCGCCATTGTCCGCAATGTTTTCACCCTGGGTTAAGTAGCCGTCAAGGGAAAGTTTGACATCCGGTAATACGTATTGACTAAAATCCGAATTTTGAAGCTGAGTTGACAAATGCGTAAATCAGTGTATTTTCTTACACACACTTTTATTTATTTTTTCGTATTTTACATACATTGCTAAATGCTTGATACCAGTTCTCGAGATACGATTTTGTAATGTAATTCCATTTTTTTGAAGGTTAATTTGAATTTTTCAGCTTTAAATACTTTTGAAGCTAAAACTCACGAGAACCGCCTTGAATTACTTTACATATCCATTCATGAAATAATTTACAGAAGCGATCATTTAAATAGTTCAAAAAATAAATTTTTGACCAATATTCTGAAATTGCGGAAAAAATCTTGTGAAATCACAATTGTTTTCATTTGCACTGTAACCAATCTCAAATCTTACGATTGATATTAAAATTCATTTTTTGCAAATAAAAACTACGGACATACACAAATTTTTAAAAACAGTATTTCATAAACTGGTAACAATATTTTTCTACTCCCGTCTCTAAAATACCTAATTACGCACCGATCTAGCGTGCGGGAAGCGTCGTTTTACCACGTCAGTTTCATTTCCCACGAATCCGAGCCACTTCGGACATTTTCGGGATTTTACCGCGCGGGTTTGGGAGCAATCGGAAGTTTTCGGAGATATTTCCCACGCTTTGAATTTTGACGTTTGTCAATTCTGACAATCATGTCAGTGAATGTATTCGTGTTTTGCGAAAATTTACCCAAAAACTAACGGTCGTAGAAAAAGTATAGTATGAAACACGTTCGGTAAACTTTTTGACTCACTCGTTTATTAAACACTCGCTCCGCGCGTGTCAAATAAACTCATGAGTCAAATGCCGGTTACCGCACTTGTTGCATAATATACTATTCCCTACCCCTTTTTACAAAATACTTAATTCTACCCCGATCAAGCGTTCGGGAAGCGTCAGTTTACCACGTGAGTTTCTTGTCCCACGGACATCGGACATTTTCGGGATATTACCGCACAGGATCAATTGGATGCTTTCAGAGATATTATCGCACGGCTTGAATTTTGACGTTTGTCACTTCTGACGGTCATGTCAGTGAATGTATTTGTGTTGTTTTGCCAAAATGTACACAAAAACTAACTGTCGTAGAAAAAGTATAATATGCAACACGTTTGGTAAACGTTTTAAGTCACTCGTTTATTACACACTGGCTCCGCTGCGCTTCGCTTGTGGTTCATATACCGTTTACCACACTTTTTCTACGATTGTTAGTATTTGGGGTACATTTTGGCAAAACAATACGAATACATGGCCGTCAGAATCGACAAACATCAAAATTCAAGCAGTGCGGTAAAATCTCCGAAAATATCCGATTGCTCCCAAACCCATGCGGTAATATCCCGGAAATGTCCGAAGTCCGTGGGACAAGAAACTCACGTGGTAAAGTGACGCTTTGCGCAAACTAGACCGGTGTATCATTAGGTATTTTACTGAAGGAAGTAGAAAAATTGTTTTCCTCTAGGAACCCATTTTATTTGAAGAGAGAAAACTGTCGCATCCCGTTTCATGGGTAGAATTTTATTAAAAATTAACTAGTTTAAACGAAAAGTGACTATCGGCAAATTTACATGCTTTACGAGTTTGAAAATATGATAAATTTGAAAAAAAATCCCAAACAACTGTTGTCGCAGTTACCGGTCTAAATTTATTGTATTTATACCGCGGAGTCAACGTTTTTGGGAGCTCTTTGTTCGTGTGTTCGAAAAATAGAGCGACATATTTTAGAGCTCAATTTCTTGTTAAGAAATATGAACAATTGAACAATATTTTTTTTATTAATGTTTAAACAATTATTATAATTTGATCTATTAAGGCTAATATAGTTCACTACAACAAATATTGGAAATGTCCACTATCCATTTCCGTACATGTCATTCATTCTATTGTTTCTATGGGAGTAGAGTAAATTATCGTCTTACGGTGTACCCATAAATTAAAATATGATGCAGTGGACTTAATAATATTAATCTATTAGTTGAGTAACTATTTGGTTAGATATGAATATCCTTTCTTAATTTACCTCCCTACACTTTAAAAACTGTGCATTTCCGGACCCATGTTTAAAAAAAATTGTTTTAATTTTTTTTCCGTCTACTATTCGAATACCCTTTTAAAACCGACATAGCGCTTCATAATTTTTTTTAAAAATTTATGTCAATAACTTGTAAGCGGAAGAACTTCTGCTAAAACGTAGGGACAGCCTCAAGTGTCAAGCACCGAAAATCTTGTTCAAATGTTTTTCAGTTTTCGATGATTTTTGTTTAACCGTTTCGACGAGTTCAGTTTCTTTTTTTAGTACCTATATTGATTAATAAGGCACTGAGCTTTTTCATAAAAGGTCTTGATAGAAGAGTGTCTCCACCACATCATCAGGTTTCCTTGGTGGTCGAAAAGTCTACCTGGAACTTTTTTTTTAGATATAATTGGTTATGTCACAAAATATTAGCCTTTATCGTCAAAGCCGTGCGTAATTTCGTGTCCGATTACTACTCCGATGCCTCCAAAATTCAAAGCTTTCGGAAAGTGTTTGTGGTAAAATGGCGGCTGTAGTATACCTTAAAATATTGAAGTTATCTTCTACTTCGGATGGAACGCGTCCCATCTTTACCTGCAGGAAACATAATCTGATTCTTATTTCTGCTATAGTAGGCATTCACTACAGCCGGTGGTGTACTCCAAAGTGTTCTGTTCATTGGAGACCCGAGCCTTTTACGTTCAACCCTGGCCGTGTGTCTAAGAACGCTTAGAACGTTCTCGAAAAAGTATCGTGGATGTACAACTATGTCATAATAACGCGACGTCAGTTCTGCAGGGGAAAATGTTTATTAGGGTTTCTAAGAGAATTTTAAACATGTTCTAGATTATATATGGCGTTAATAAGGAATGTATCAAAATTTTTGCTGTTGATATATAACGATATATACCGGATATCCCAGGAAAGTGACAAGGTACAGTTTAGGGAAATAGATGGTCCTAGAAATTAAAAAAAACTTGTTTATATAGTTTTAAAATTCAAAACTCGAAAATAATTTAAAGCATTTTGTCTGGTCGGTTACCCTTAGTGGTGTCCCAGTAGATCGTTGTCTTTTACAGGGTGATGAGAGTGTTTCAACAGGAAAAAAAACCTAAAAACTAGATAGAGATTTATGTGTCTTGGGCTCGATTTCCGAGAAATTTTAAATACGTTTTGAATCGTATAGTCATATCTTCACTATCGACCCAGTTATAGGGCGTTTTTCCATTTAGACCATTTATAAAATTGACGATAGTTATTTTATGTACAAAAATTTTTTGATTCGATTATTATTAATATTATTTTCTTTGTTAATCTGCTAATCACAGTTTCCACTCATATACGTAAGGTAGTTAATATGTCTTGAAAAATGACGCAGATATAAGAAGTTTTTTTTGAGTATAAATAGGTCGTGCTTATAGCTGTCAATAGCAAGTACCTCCATCATAGAGAGACTTTAAAAATAGTTTACCCAACTCTGAAAGATTAATAAAGTTAATGTCAATTTACAATAACTTAAAAAATACGAAATTCATGAACTATTGAATATTTTTGTTTAAATATTATTAAGTAATAATATTTAATTTTGATATTTTAGATTACTAACTTTTTGTTTGGCAACATTTAACAGCATAACTAACGAGCGGAGCAATAAAAAAAAATGTTTTAAACTGCTGGGCACTACATTTTAAAAGCATCACCATTCATTTAAATTGAATTTAAAATAACAAAACCTGTTTGGTTTAAAATGAAATCAGGAAATCCAATCTTCAAATCCATGCTATCAATTTTCATTTTGGCGTACTCTTTGGTGTGATTGTCCAACCAAGAATTCTCGGCCAGTATACTTTTGAAGGCCTGCTGCAATTCCTCAGCCATTTCAATTGTGTCCACTTTGCTTACGGTGTCGAAATATTTCTTGACGAATAGTGATCCAAGCGCCATACCCATGTGAGTATTTACTTGAGATACGCAAAACTGCCATCTGTTGGGTGGCTTTTCTTTGCCAAATACGATATAATTGAAACGTTGTTTTATTGTTAAGAATCTCCTATCTGCAATGTAGATTCTAGAAGAGACTGAGCAGCCGAGGCGTTTGAGAAATACCCAAATTATTCAATATGGGCTTTACAAATTTCCATATCAAATAGTTATTAACAACTCTTGGGCTATTATTGCTAAGAACGTAGAAGAGGTTTAATATATACTTTGCACAATATACAGCTACAGGAGTTTCCAGATCGATGTCGGTACCTGAAACTTAACTCTTCAGATGCGTCTCGAGAGTTATTTAATCGAAAATAACCCAAAACCGAATCAAAATAAGTTTTCCAGTCGAATTGCGGAAAGTAGAGGGTCAAGGAAGCAATATCGGTTCTCAGGTAAACATCAGAAAGGTTTTTGCGCTCTTCAGAAGGCATCATAATTCGAGCCAATTGTGTTTCGAACTCAATGATATCATCGACATCTCTCTCTGCAGTTGCTGGATCCGCTCCGAGTAGCTTGACGGTGCTTAGAATGAAAATTCTGTACGCCTGGACGTATTTAATATTCTTCGAGTCCAAATAATATTCTCGATCAGGCAAATTTAAGATAGTTTGATCTATGTGGACTATGTATCTATTAGAGTTTTTCATATCTGGCCCGATCCATTGGGAAATTAGCGCCTCGCTGTTCAGTAATCGAAGTCTGCAGTGAATATCAAAAATATTTAATTTTCTAGCATTCTGCGAATATATTATCATTTACTTCCACGCAATTGTTTAAAGAAAAAATATATTTTCTGGAGTATGAGTCAGATTTATTATTATTAATCGCAGTTTATAATTTTACCGAAGTTTAATTACCTAATGGTTGATTTTTGCAAATATGTATTTAACAGTAAAATATTTATTTTATCCAAAAAACATAAGAATTTATATTGTAAAAATGAATTTCTAAAATGCTTCATTAATGAATTTTAATTACCGTGTACCTCGCTAATAAAGTAACTAAATCAAAATGGAATTTTCGTTTGATATTATCTGTTAAAATTGGCCATCCACCCAGGGCATCTATAATTTCAAGCAACGGCTTGCTGCCTCTTTTGAAAATAATGTCTTCCCGCATACAAGACCAATATAGCCACCTGGCTTTTACGGCCGAATCTGTAGTGTCATTGAAACGAACTTCAGTGAATAAACTGTCGTAAACATTTGGACTTAAGTTTGCCACTTTCTGCGATAAATCTGATCGATTTTGCAAAATTTCATTGAGAGCGAGATCTAGTTTTTCTCGGATTATTTCAAATGTGTCGTAGATGGATCGATCGTGTGGTATAGTATAGTATCGTTTCCAATTGCCGCATGCATAGTCGTAGAAGTCACTACATGGATCGGCGTGAGGGTTCATATAATTTCTCATTAGCTCACCTTTATGCAAAAATACATTTTATAATTTATCTTTAATCCACGTTTCGATAAAAATCTTATCCTACTTTGTATGTTCCTAATTTCTTCTCTGGTTTTTTGGTTATGCCAGAAAATGTGTTTGTTGTCGTCTCTAAACGTTCCATTGTCTTTATTCCTGCTGTCACAATTTACAATTATTATAAGCTTGTCTGTATTAATAACTTTGGTATTATTAATAGCATCAATTGAGGGTTGTTCGTTAGCTTCACAGTCGCTCTCTGAAATACTTCCGAACTGCTTATTTTCTTTAACGTCATTTTTATTTTTATAACCCCCTTTTTGTCCTAAAATTCCCGAATGCCGCCAACGTCGCCTAGAAAATTTGCTTTCGGGTATGAAAATCGTTTTTGTGTCTCTAAGGATTTCGTGATTATCTTCATGTTCAAGTATTTCACGCTTTTCGAAGTTATTCAGCCGGATATTTCCAACTGTTAGGGGCAAACAATTTAAAATTATTGTTAGGGTTCCTAACAAATGGCACATTTACGTTTGTATGACACAACTTACAGAAACGTCATAAAACGCTGATTTACGCAACTATTTTTTGAATAATGAATATATAGAGTATTTCATTAACAATGGAACATAAAACTGAACCAAATATGCCTTAAGACCCGTTTATTATGGGATGATATCCTATCTCAGAATTTATAAAGAATATAAAAAAAAGTAAAGACAAAAGTTAAACTTCAATGGATTTATTTTAAATTTTACAGGGTGATATAACAGGTGCTCTATAGCAATAAAATATTTTCAAGTATGCAGTGTTGCAGCTTCTATATAAACAAACACCACCTGTGTATTAATTCATTTTTAGAAAGAAACAAAGCAGAGTTTACTCAGATTTAAACAATTTGGACCCTTGAAGAAACCTTAATAGTTCCGTGCTTTAATTTGACAAAAATTTTTCAGACAGTTCCTGGTAGGGCTTAGGCATTCTTTCATAGCATACCATTTTCGGTGTTTCAAAAATAGGATTTTGTGTGGGAGTTCTAAAAACGTGGTTTAATGAGTTTTTGTAAATAGCACGCCTTGCAAAATCGTTAATTTTTGAATTTCAACTCAATTTTACCCAAATTTCCTTATACTTATCTCTTACCGTGATACAAATTAATTAATATGGGTTTTACATGACATCAGCAGTAAAACTTAGTTGAGTTAGTTTCTTTCCTAGAAGTCAAAAATGGAAGAATATACAGGGTATGATATTTAAAATGAACCGTGTTTCTAGAACTAAAGTACAAAATCTTATTTGGAAACACCCTATATGTTCCATTTAATATGGCACTCCAGGGAATGATGCCTGATCCCTTTCTGGAACTATCTGCAAAAGTTCAATTTTCTTTTTAACTAAATCGCTTAAATTCCATCAAGAGTCCAAATTGCTTAAATCTCTAGGAAATTATTTTTTATTTCAATAGTGGTAAAACATAGCTAAACTACAAGATTGTCTGAAATATTTTCTTCAAATTGAAAACCATATGCCAAGACCACAAAATGCTGACTTTTTATAATATTTCCTAGTTCAAAAAATTGTTGATTTCGAAATATTAGGAAAAAAACGTTTTTCCGTTGTAAAAATTTTAAATGGCTACTATTGTTTAGTACATACTTTTATTTTTTTATAAAAAAATTTAATTTATCAAATGTCTAAAAATTGAACAAATATCCTGATGGACGAAAATATCTGTTTTAACTGTTTTAAATGATTAATAAAAAAAATAAAAATTGAAAACCTTATACCCTTGTTTAAAATCCGAAATACGATAAAATTTTCAAAAATTGAGTTTTTTCCATTTAACTTGCAATAAACGAATTTCAGAATCAGTTGAAACCAAAGAAGAGTCGATTTCAGACGAAGAATCTGATAACGATACAACCAGCGCCAGTGTAAGCAGTATCGAGGATCAAAAGTATCGTCCGCGGAATTCATCGATATCGACTTCCAGCGAGAAACACAATCACTATGGGAGCTTTTACCTTCGGATGGGAGCGGTAGGTAAGTATAAAATATTAACCTTCTTTCCCTTGTAATGGTAATAAAATTTTACAGCATTTGGGATAGGCAGCATGATTTACTCGGGTCTAGAATTTGGTCAATATTTTGAATTAGAGAGGAACACGAAGTGCCACAATGTACTTTTGGCGCTAACTCCTGCAACTCGCATGGCCTTTATTTTTATACAAATGTATTTCATCTTTTTAAATAACGAAGTATGTGAAACGCAGTTATTGCATATATTCACGTAATACATAATTGCGAATTTCTTCTAGCAAATGCGGGTGTATAAACATAAATTAGCTGCAAGATTCGGCCTGATGCACATGATCGGCACAAATTTGTCAGTCTGGCTGAATGTCTTAGTTCAAGAAACCAAACACGAAATACTGACGTTTTACAATCCCGAAAACAATTCGCTAAGGATATCGCACCGGATTCCTTACAAGGGCAATGTGCTGGGGTATGTACATACAATATAATAGATAAAGGATTACGGAGACATGTCATGTGAAATTTCAGGTTAGGCTCTTCAAATAATCTTAGCATAAACGCGTATTTTGATATTAAATATTTCATTACTGTGCTCTCATTTCTAAGTCTAGTCTCCTCTACAAAAACACATAATTGTTATTTGTTTATTCATTGTTACTAAGTTATACCGGGTGTTTCGGTCCCGCTAAATTCTAGGGTAAATAGAATATTAAAATATAACCTCAGTTTTGGTTTTTATGAGGACAAGTTTAACATAAATGATATTTTTAAACAATTTGTCATAACTCTTGCATAAAATCAAAAAATTGATTTTGCAACTATTTAAGGTTTTGCCAACTAATCCTAACCGAAATAAATTATTTGATGTAAAATCATCAACGAACTTTTATGGTCGTCTAAATTTTGTTTACATTTTTTAAACAATTTCAGAAAAAAAAAACAATTTTTTTTTGGGGCCTCTTTTCAAAGGAGGCATTTTCGGACACACGCCTATTAACCAAACTAACAGTATTTTTTAATACTCTGTTTATTCTATTGTGAATCACGCTGCATGAGATTTATTAATCGTTGTAGAATAGGCATTTTATGAGAGTATATTTTTGATCCTACTCATTCTCTTGACACTTGACACTTTAATGCCCATTAAAAACAATAGATCACGCGTATCTCGTCGGTCTATTGTTTTAGTGTCAACGTTCCGAATCCGTTTTCTGCTTTCATATTTCGCCTCGCTTTGTATTGCAGTTTGCCCTTGGTAGGAACCGAACATCCTCCGGAAGCTCACGGGCATCACATCGTGGCGAGAGGCCTCAAAGGCCCTCATCATCTGTACGAATGTCGACGGACTAACATAATAGGCTCCCTTGTTCAAGACGCGTCACCCTTCCTTTTCCCCTGCACTATTGAGTACAGCCTAATATGCGCGGCAATCCTTTATGTGATGTGGAGAAGCATATCGAAGCTGCCAATTACGACGTCTCAGATGTTGAAAGCAAAGTGCGACGTTAACGCTTACAAAAAAAGCCCCCATCACTATTCGGTGGACTGTGCCAGGGCGCATAAGGGCTTATTCGTCGGCATTCTGTTCCTGGTGTTGACAATTATATCGTTGATTTTGTTTTTCGTCTTAATTTCGCGTTCCGAATTCGTCGGCCTCGCTGTGATCGAGGTGAACATCTGCGAGCTCGTATTGTACGGTATGACGACGCTCGCATCGATGATAGGCATGTGGCAAGTGAGACAGCTCAAATACGACGGAACAAAAAACCTTCAGCTGGATAATATTCTCCTGGTCGGAGCTCAAACCGGAATGTATATTTACAGTACGTTCACTATAATCGGCGGCCAGTTCACCATACAAAAAAATACGGTGTTGGTCCTGGTGACCGCCGTGGCTTCTCTCTTGCAGACCACGTGTCAAACGATTTTCATTCTCGACGCTTCTCGGAGAACTTGCGTGACGCCCGACCAAATCCGAAAGAAGCCCGGGCGGGAAATCGTGACGTTTTTGCTCGTTACCAATTTGGCGATGTGGGCGATCAATACGCTGGAAAAATCGAGGGCCGAATCGCATCCGATCCAATTGCATTTCTACGGGTTGTGGGCGTGGACTATCATTACGCACGTCTCCATGCCTCTGGCCATATTTTACAGGTTCCATTCTACAGTGTGCTTGTGCGAAATTTGGAAGAGGGCCTATAAGATGAAGCCGACATACATGTAGCAATTGGTCAAAGTTGATTGGTTGGAAAGGTATTGATGGATTGACACGGGTGTGCGCTTATTTTTGACTTTGGAATCGGTAAAAAATCCATCAAAATGGAGATAATTTATGAGTTAAAGAATTAAAAAAAAAATCGAAGATATTACCAGTTATCTCAGAAAAAAACAATGCAATGCACTTGGAAACTGGAAAACATTTTATAAAATGTATACACCAAAAAATTTATGTTCGTAAACCAAAAGTAACGTGCAAAATAATTTTGAGATAGAGATTTCAACAAAAAGTACAACAAAAATTATTAATATTGATCTTATATTTAATTTGGTTTTGTGCTAAAACATTTCTTTTCGAAATTTCGAAAAAATTTCACCGTTAGTCTAAACCTTTTCAGGTCGTGACATTTTGACGGCTCGTTAAGGTTGACGTATTGTTTATAATTTTGTATTCAATCGTGTTAAAGAGACAAAGAATAGTTTGGGCTGTTAAGTTGGATAGAACCCCTTTTACGTGCTCCACATTGTAAAACCCATTACGCCAAAAAAGTGGTGATGCGAGTGGTTTCCAATCCATAACTTTCATCTCGGCTACGACTTTTTAGAAATTTATCAATTACTTGTTTGGGTATGCTACACCAACTACTAATTGCAAACAAATAAAAAAAAATCCGGCCACCTCTCCAATACTCCTTCACAGAAAAATAGGCATTCAGACAATCGATCGCAAATGTAAGTTGTGAAAGACACGGGCCTGTTACTTTGCAGGTCATACAAAGGACTCTTTTCCACTTCAATATTTTTCTTCTACAAGTATGGTATTGATTTTCCTCTTGGGAGAACAATGTCACTTGTTATTTTAAGTTTTTATTATCAAAATGCAGGGTGAGTAGTACATATTCTCATAGCAAATACTAAATACCTACTTTCCATAGATAGTAGATATATCGTGTATCGGGTACAAATTTCGGGATCATAATTTGTAGGATTTACCATTTTTATACATTTTTACCTACTGTAGCTATTAAGGTCTTTGTACGTCATTAGAAAGTGCAAATGCAAATCGTCAATGTGGTATTTAACTCGATGTAAACTATATTCGACGCGTATGTATTTTTACGTTTTCAATAAAATCAAAATTTCAAATTATTTGCTATGGTGGCATACCGTAGTAGTTCTGAGGGCTTCATCTTAATTGCAAGCAGGTGCTGACAAACAACTTATAGTATATTTTTGAACAGTGTATTTTGTTTATCCAATATATACATAATTGATGCGAAATCTTTTATAGGATATTTTTTTCAGCTTAAAAAAGTCAATTATCTTTTTTTCGTTATGAAAAAATGAAAGCAAAGGAGTTCGACGTTTAATATGTATTGGTGGTAATCCGGGTGTTCATCTGTTCGTTGTTTGACCCTGGAGTAGGATCATCCGCCTGACGTTTCGCCAAAATATCACTTGGCATCTTCAGAGGCCGCGCGTCCAGTTTAAGTGCGGACACGTACGAGTGACATGGACGCGCGGCCTCTGAAGATGCCAAGTGGTATTTTGGAGAAACGTCAGGCGAATGATCCTACTCCAGGGTCAAACAACGAACGGATGAACACCCGGATTACCACCAATACACATAGTTCCATCCGTGAAGGACTAAAACAAAACATTATATATATATATATATATATATATATATATATATATATATATATATATATATATATATATATATATATATATAAATAATTTGCGCTCCAAGTTTAATTAACTTGTAAGCTTTTGTAAAAATATTTTATGAAAGACCACCCTTTGTTTTACTGCAAAACTCATCCTCTAAAATTTTTCGCACACTCTATATGTAGATATCACGAATTTTCCACTTTTGCTCAAATTGATATTAATAATATGTAATTTTTTTGTCACTTATGAATTAACTTATCCAATAATACTGATTAATTATTTGAGGTTTTATTAGTAACTGATGGGTTTAAATCAAAATGCAGCTTTACTGTTAGGGTAAGAATTTTGTACAATTAATTGTGATTAAATGATATTGTTACGAGTTTTTTAGTATAGTAATGTGCGTTTTGTGAAAGTGAATTAATAGTCTAGCATCTGTATCACTATGTATCAAAACTTTATATGTTAAAAGATAAAATGAAACGAAAAATAATGATAGGTGAGTGCAAGGGAATAATTTAGAAATAATTAAGAATGGGCAATGCTTCATTTACTCACCAATTTTGCCGTTCGAAAATTCAAATTCATCGATTGGAATGTTTTACACTTTATCATTGGGTTGAAATGAACGAGGTAAGCACCAAAATGTTCTTGCTTAAATGAAAAAAGACCAATTAGCATCTTCATTATTAAACAGTCCTTTAAGTATTCAAACAATAGTAATGGCTGGGGGCCATATCTAGACGGTATATTACACACCTGTGAAGAAGTCGTAGTGCGGTGAGTTTTCCAAGACATTAAAATCATAAAATCTCTCAAAGAACAAATCGAACACAGCGTCGAAGAACTTTGGATTTTCTTGGAGATTGTTTTTCAATAGCTGATTTTCACATTACTTATGCAAGAAAAAAATGTTCTTAGATGATTATGCAGGTCAACTAATTTTGGCACTTACCTCGTATGTTAGTGGTAATTCAAACCTAACGCATTAATTTTTCTAATTATGCAGATTATTTAATATACTCGGATAACAAATAAGACGAACCGTTGCTCTACCCTTGAGAAATGTAGGTAACCCAATCGCAGATACTTCCTCGATGAGTGAATGAGAATGTATTGTGACAACAATAATACTCTTTGTGTTAAAGACGAACGCGATAAACTTAGTGCCATATCTGAATATCTTACGTTGTTTTGTTAGGTAGTTGAAATTCTATACTGTATATACGATGTGATTATTTATTGCTGGTTTTAAAGTTTTAGACGTTTTTGATTTGTTAATTGATATGTACTTTTATTATGCGTATTGTAATAATAAAACATTAAATGCGTAGGAATGATGTTTTTTGTTGTTGGATTCATATTAGATCGAAAAGTTCAATTATAATCTACGGCTTTGTTCTGAGGTTACCAAGTTTGTACAGAGCGGTCATATGGCATATATCTCGGAAACTATTCGTCATAGAGACTTGCGGTAAAAAAATTTATTACTAAAGTGCTCAAAAGAAAACTGTGGAAAATATTTCAGCCATCTTACATCTTTTTTTTACCTGCAAATTTGTCTTTTAAAATAAAGGGGTGGGGGCGATCATCTTTTTTTTTATAAATTTCCAAACCACTTAACAGATGTCAATCTCATGTTTTATGTAGTATGCCTAGTTTTTGGAGATGCCCCTAGAGCGCGCGTTTTGAACAGGTAACAGAAATTGCCAAATTCACTAAAAATGAAATAAAACAATATGACTTTTTTTCGTAAGAACCGAATCTCCATATCTTTTTTAGATATCATAAAATTTTTAAAAGACGGTATTACACAGGTATTCATTGTTAGTTATTTATAGTTATTAAGATTCAATGATAAAATTTCATTAGTTAATAATTTTAAATTTATGAAAGTATTCTTGTTCAATTTTTCTTAAGCGCTTGAGCAATTAAAACTGGATATGCGAGTTACTTTGGCCACGGATTTGAGAGTGATCGGATATTTTCGGTGAATCAAAACACTGTTGTTATTTTGAGGTGTATCAGTTTTGATCTACACGTTACAGGTCACTGAGTGAATGTATTTGTACAAAAATGTTTGCAAAAATTAATGGTGGTAGAAAAATTATATTATACAACACGTTTGTGAACTTTTTTAGACTTGCTTCGCTAGTGCCTAAAGAAACTAGTGACCAAAGTGTCGTTTATAAAACTTGTTGCATAATACAATACAATAATGCATTTACACTATTTGCAGTTGTAGAAAATATTTACAAAGTTAAATTTTTCGCTGAAAATTAAATGGGATTTGAGCATATTTTGAGACGACACAGTCGAAACAGTGGTATTGCTAAACTGAAAAGTGTCAAATTGACGAACTGTCTTCCTCGACATTTTTTGATGTTCGTTTCAAAAGTTTGTCTATTGGAATTCAAATTGAAAAAGCATAAAATTGAAACTTCGCTTATAGGTGGCATCTTTATGAAACATTAGCGTGCAAATAAATTATTATTACTGTGTGTATCAAAAATCAATAAATAGAATAATATAAAAACCGTTAAGATCGGTATGCTGGGAAAACATTTTAATTTTACTTACTAAGCATATTTACTAAAAATGATTCAAATAGGCTCAGGCCCTTAAAATGTAAATAATTGTTTTAAACACTAAAGACCGCTCGAATTTGTTCTCTTTCTTCAACCTGTTTATAAGTAAAATTCAATCTTTTTAAAAAATACATACTTTTATCCTACAAAAACAGAAGCAAAAGAAGCCCAATATTTTTTTGGTTCTCTAATGTTTACGGTTTTTTTATTTTAATGTTAAGCCAAATAATACACTAATGCCGCCAAAGTTACTCTTATATATTTGTCCGAAGCAAATCGAACACGAGAGAGCACATTTTGTTAGAACTGTACTTGCTGTATACAGGAATTCAATTCACATTAATTTCTCGGGGTCGTCCATTTCTGATGCGTGCAGTGGTGTCGAGGGTGAGGGCGTTTGAATTCTCCCTATTCCCCCTAGACACCGCGTCGTTGCTATATGCGCCAGGTCACGTGATGTAAACAGAGAAGTTGCGTGGAAAAGACTGTAGCGTACGTAAACGTTGCCGCTTTGCTCACTTTTTACTGTAGAATACTTTCGGGGCGGCTTTATCAAATATATTTAGGTTTAGTCTTCTTTGAATTGGTTTCAATAACAACGAACTAACGAACGAGCCGACTTGTTTCGACATTTTATAACTTAAGTGTAAACACGACAATTTCTGTTAGAAATTTAAAATTTTATTCACGGTACCAGACTACAGACAAAACTACTAAGTGGCACTTTCAGAACTTGTTAATATATTTTATAATTTCATCGAAATTTTTTTACTTAAAACTTTATGCTTTAATTTTAGCTACTCTAATTTCAAATATTTTAATCAATTTAGAAACTTCCAACTGTTTATACAATTCATCTGTGCCCATTAGTCCATCATAATTCAAGAGTTAGTATTTTGCATACTTTATTTCACGAGTCGAAGGTAGCCCCATAGCCGCAAAAGCTATAGCTATTAGATAATAGCCCTACTACGGTTATACTTTCGTAGAATGTAATGTAATGTAACATAAGGAGAAGATAATTATTTTCCGCGCATGCCTGTACATTTCACCCATTAACTTCCAACTCAACTTATTGGTGATACCGCTCGTCGAATGCGGCAAGGTAATTTTAAGATTTTAAATCTAGCATGCGCATGTGGAACGGACCTCAAAATTTGTTTTGATAAGTACTAGTTTCTGTTTTATTGGCATAAGCAAAGACCTCTATATCTCTAGAAGCTGTATGTAGCAAAAGATATCTAAGATCAGACATGTACTTCTGTTGTAGTTTTGTCTGCACCCGTATATATTTAAGCTGTTTTACAAAACTTGTATGTGGCACTGTCTCTAAAATAAAAATACTAATTTTCGTATTTATTTTAAATACAATCCTATTTGTTTGTTGACGATAATATACGTTCGTGTAGATTTATCTGCAATATATTATATTCTAGTCAGTCTTGATACCATTCCAGATGAGTATTAATTTTTTAAATAACTTTCAGGTTTGCCTCTGTATACAAAATGTGGTGTCCGAAAAAAGTAAAGTCTGTATTTTACCAAATATAAACTTATTATGGTCTGTCTGACCCCTGGCTATTTTTTAGTTAATTTAATACATCAGTTAAAATTCAAAAGTTGAAATCGGTGTCTACTATTTCCGCAGACGTATCAAAGTCGATTTAGATTCAAGTTGTTTTTTCCACATTCACGTGTTTGTTTTTGTTGTCGTATTGCAATTACACTTTATAAAACCGAGGCGCAAAAACCCGGAATTGCATTGAATTAATTTGGCAACGCCGCTTAAAAGCACACCAGTCCGCAAGAATGAATGCTGGATACCGCTATATTTCCTATTGAAGGCGAAACGGAAAGTCGTGTATCTGTTGATTTAACGTGAATTTCTTCCATTAACTCACAAAATATAGCTAAAGTTCCGAACAACCACGTATAGTTTAAAGGCGTAAAAAACATTCCCTGTTTTTATTGCAACGCGAATTGTTTATACCGGTGTGCGAGAACTTAACAATCACTTCATATAACTTATCGACCCAGTGATATATGCGACTATTGTGTTATAATTGATGCAACTGGAAAATGACGATGTAAGTAAATATTAAGATCGTTTTATTTTGTTTGAGTTCGCGGTTCGGTAACAAAAAACGCAGAAATTCTAATAAATACTTATTGGAGGTACAAAAGTGAAACCAGTTTCTAAATTGCCTCCGTAATTATGTCATTATTTCTATTTCAAGGCCATTTAGCCTGACCTATACGATCACAGAGTGTTGCAACGGTTTACCTAAATAATAAATAAAAAATATGTATACCTATACGTACGAATAAGAAAAGATATAACAAAAAAATTGGATCTATATGTTAGTTTTGAATTGAATTGAATTGAATTATACCTACTACTCGCGCGCAACTAACGCGTTTAATTAACTAGAAACTAAGGAATAATTTCCCTGATATTTATTATTTTGTGCTGGTTTGCTGACCGAAAATAGATCACGACCATCTTGCTATGGAAACGCGAATAACATTCAAATTAACCGCCTTTATTATTAAAAAAACTCTTATTCGGTCACCGGCAACACTAAAATAATTAAAACAGTTGGATCGACTGTTAAAAGATGGATCAATTTCCCGCCAAAAATTAATAAACATTTGCAATCTCTACGGATCATATGCGGTTCTTGTGATTTTGAAAAAGTTTGAAATGGTAGTGGGCTTGCAAATACTTTTAACATAATTTGAGTTAATAAATGCAATGTATTATATATTTATACAATACAAAATATCTTCAGTCGTTTTTACCGGTCGAGAAATTACTGTTTTTAATTTCCAACCGACAAGATCAAAAGTCTCGATCAAATTAAGGAATAGAGAAGGACATTGAAGGAAAATAAGTTAAGAAAGATGAAGCCAAATAAAAAAAAACAGTGATTAACCAAGAGGAAGAGAAAGTCAAAAATGTTGATTGCGACTTACCGTAAACAATGGCCGCTTTAAAGCAAACCCTCATATTAACCGCACAAGTTATGGAAAAATTATGATTCAGCTAATAACCGGTATAAATACTTTACAAATAAATAATTTTTATTATTTTATTTATACTTTTGCTGTGTTTTTTCAATTCGACATTTAATTACCAATACGCAATAAAAAAACAACAAAAATAAATGGATTTTATAAATTTTTTAGAAAATTTGGTCACCAAGGAAAATAAAACAAATTTCTATCCGATAATTTTTAACTAAAATGAAATGTTGACATGCTATATATAAACCTATACCTTAAAAGCAATCCCTTTTAATAAATTTGGTTTAGCAGTATGGGTTCAGCAGATAATTTCCCAAAATAACAAGTGATAAACAAAATCTCAATCATTGACAAAATATTATTATTATTATTGTCAGCATCTTACGAGCACTAACGTCTTAAGATGTTATAATTAAGCGAAGTCATTTTATCATATATTTATAGAGATTTGTCAAACTCAAATCGACAACCATGTACTTTCCCAGCAAAAAACTGAGCGAAACCGAATCTTTTTTGTTTTTGTTGTAAGTATTTTCTTTCTTTTACGTGCTTAACAAGGATGTTGACAAAATTATTTCAATATACTACCGTGCATTTTTTTTAATACAAAAGAAATGCGATCCATTCCACTGAATACGCTTTACTTGTCCAATACTAACAAATTGAGTGTTTTGCAGTTTAATTGATCCGCATCAACTGCAAACCTCCGGTCAAAATTATTGTATATTATAAGCAGAACGAAATACCTCCGTTAAAATTGCCATAATACCCTGTTTTTGCGTAACCAATTTACGGAATATAAAATTGCGAAGGGGGAGGATATGCAGGCGAACCCCCACGCTGACACCTGTAGCGCACAAAGGAAATACAACGACGCAGGCTGAAAGCATGACGACGGCGATCGAATAGCGTCGCTTTCTACTAGCCTTACCGAAAACGTCATCCTTTACGACCTTGTCCGAGTGCAATAGGGCTTTAAGTAATTTTTATAGACTCTAAATTTAAGTTTTAGATTCCAGCACTTTTCAAGTTTCATGTAACAAACAAAGGCTCATTTGAGCTCAAATAAAACCGAAGCACGATTAATAAAAATCTCTTAAATAGTCAAATTAAATTTAGTTAGTTAGTCAAATCAAATTTTAGGAAAACAAACGTCTTCTCTCTAGGCCATCTATAAACTAGTGAAAATATTCGAATCTAGAAAGAATATTTTATGCCATTTTTGACTACAAATTTGCAAACCATTCACAAAAATCTTCGCAGTAAGTATTTAAGACTTTCGATAAGTACAACACTGCATCGATCTGTTATCGTATAAATAAATGAACCATTACACTAACAAAACCTATTAATATGAAATTTGTCAACTTATTTTAAACGGCATAACACGTTGTATATTTCTGTAGCTGCCTTCGAAATATTTCAAACGAATGGTCTCCACTAGCATTATTGTCAGTACTATTGAATCAGCAAATTTCTAATTCTAATTTTTTATCATTAATAGATTTATGTTGAGAGCCTTGACATAATTGGGCACAAAATGGGATTTACGAGGGGATTTTACATTTAAACTGTTTTATTTAGTTTAGTTAGACTTTGTCGCCGGATAGCAATACCTTAAATTGGATGCAGCGAAATAGGTTTGTTTTATGTGCTCCGGATGAGTTTGAGTTAGCAAAGCGAAAGGTGTCAGACCGCCATTGGTTTTATTTCGCCAAGTTCTCGAATTTCGCTGTATTTGACCTATAAGAAATTGAACTCGCAGGATTCGGGAGTTTATTTGTTTGTCGAACCTAGTCGAGCTAGGATATATGAGCGAGTGATTAATAAACGATTGAATAAAGAAGTTTGTTTAATGTGTTGCATACAATACTATTTCTAGTTTGTAGTTTTTCATTTTCGTATAAAATATCGCGAAATGTTTTTTCAATTTTGACTTATTCTAAAAATGAAAATCTTACGCCCCCTAGCGGTCAAACGGTGCGAGAACTGCTATCAAATGTCAGTGTATTGGAAATGTCAATGTTTTCTATGTGCAATGTATCTCGCAATTTTACATTAGCGTAGGCTTTCAATGCCAGTCAAACAAATATTTATTGCATGAACAAATATCAAATAATTACCCCATCAATAGAAATATACCTAGGCGGGCTCATTAACTGATTGCCAATTTTAATCATTACTAAATATCGTCAGTACAGCTAAAATCTAATAAATGAAAAATCTCGTAGCTTTTTAACAAATTATTTCATTAGTTATAGTACCGTATTGGATTTTAGTTAGCGCTGTTTATTTTTTCAACTTTTTGGTTCAGCTTATTTGGAACCTGAGCACATTAGCGTTCAACCCACGTCGTCCTTTTAATTCGAACGAAACTCGTTGGCCCGAAAAAATACGCGTGTGGGAGGCAAACTCCACCGCTAATGCACCATTAATTAATCAGTTTAGGTATAAAGGTTTCTGAAAGTTCATTTGGAGCGGGCGTTAACGCGTAACCTATGTTTCAGAATTTATTCATCAGTGAAGCCAATAGTTTAATGAAATATCCCCCGCTATCATAAAATATTACACTGATTCCGACCGTGCTATTGCACTGTGAACCTTTAGAGAAATAGAACTGATTAAAACGTAAAGAAGCTCCGCTAATGCACGTAAAAAATAATTTCAAAAGAGAAATGAACAAACTGTCGCCATTTGCATTATTCAAATCATTGCCAATATTATAAAAATTTGAATAGCTTTATCACAGCCCAAAGCCCTTAATTCTTAAGCACGATAGAAAAGAATGACTCCCGAGGAAAGTACTCACGGTTCTTTTTAACCGTTGAACCAAAGGGGAGAGTTTCGTTTTTTTCTTTCAAAGTTAAATTTTAATACGTACAGGGTGGGCACTCTATTAGGGGCCTGTACCTTTTCTCAGCAACTACTGAAAAAAAATGCATACAAAAGTTTTATTGTTTGAATTAAATTTTAAAATTATTTATTTGTTTATATATACAGGGTGTCCGATAAGTGCTGGACTGACATTTTTTCTCAAAGTGTGTCAAAATACCTATAGTTTGGTATATATATATATTTACTATACATAAATCTAATCATTTTTTAGGAATAAACTGCAAAAAAAATACTGACACTTAATTATTTTAAAGAATTATATATATATATATATATATATATATATATATATATATTTTCATTAATAGTAAAAAACTCACACTTTTTCAATATTATTATGAAACTAGTAGGCTGTGGCAACCAAATAAGTGTTTATAATTGTTTTAAGTGACGTTATAATTAAGAGTCAGAGTTTGACAGATGTGATTTTAATCGAGCAATATTATTATTACTTCAGTTAAAAATATATACGGTGCAAGAAAAAACTGGCTCTTAGGGAGTATCAAAGAAAGTTTCCTGTAAGGCGGATTCCAGAGAAGAAGCTATTTGGAAAAATGTATGCGACGTTTAGGCCTTCTGCGTTCAAGAAAAGACCACGACAAGTTCTAACAGAGGAGAAGCAGTTGGATATACTACTACATTTTGAGAATATACCAAAACCATCCACTCGTCAAAACCGCGTTGGAGTGGGATGTTAAAAGAACTAGGCTCAGAAATTGTTTAAAATTAAATAAGCGAAAAGCAAACAAAATGGGAACATCTGGTGGCCACCTCGAAGTCCAGATCTTACCCCACTGATTTTTTTTTTATGGAGGACAATTAAAGATATGGTATATAAAGAAAGATGCACTACGGTAAATGAACTACAGAGGTGTAGAGAAGCTGTAGTTCAACTGAATAACCGATTTTGTTTCTAATGCTATGAACCAGGTTGTTTATACAACGTGCATTATTTAAAATGGTGGACATTTTGAAAACCTACTGTAGATCTTCTATTTTGTTTTACGTTAATTTTTACTTTAATTGTTACAGCTACTGTTGTTTGTTGCTTTTACTTGTTACTGTTACTCGTTTTAAATTTTTAAACTTCTATCATAATTATACATATTCTTTTGCACCTATAAATCTCGGCATTACCTTACCTAGAAAAAAGACCTATCACCCATTGCAAAAATCCTTAAAATTAATTAAAAAATAAGAATGATACGCTTTTTTTAAATTCTTTAAAATAATTAGATGTCAGTATTTCGAAAACCATTAGATTTAGTTATGGGTCATATATGTATATGTATATATATTAAAGGTATTTTAACCCGTTTTGAGAAAAAAATATCAAAAACAAAATATATAATCTCAATTTCTGTCTAAAAATAACAAAATATATAGGGTGTTACATTTAAAATTTTAAACCAATGTCGGTGCAGCACTTATCGGACACCCTGTATACATAAAAAATTAATAATTTTAAACATAACTTAACTTTTGTATAAACTCTTTTTTTCTAAAATCAGTAGTTCCTAAGAGAAGGTACAGAACCCTAACATAATCGAGCACATCATATAGCAATGTAGAAGAAGCTTAAATTTATCCAAATCCAACTGTCAGTAATGTGTGAGATGCGTCACCGATAAATTGGATAGTGGAAAGAAAGTATAATTACTTCCATCTGTTAATAAGCAATTTTTTTAAACAAAATATGACGATTAAAAGTACTCGTTTTTAAATAAATTCTCGATGTAATACTTAGTTTAGCGAAATTCTTAAAGACAATACAAATAGATTCCTATACGGTATCAGATATAGAAAATTTATCACCTATGATGTTACATCAAAGCGTTTCCTTCCTATACACTGATATCAAACGAATTTTTTTCTAACAGCCTATGATATACGTTCGCGTAGCGCCCATTTACCCATAAATAGAATGGGAAATATAAGAGGGGTGGCAGAGACCGCTTGGCGCTGTAAATAGAGCTGGAAATAGAGCAATGCCTGTCAGCGCCGTGGTTACATGGCGGGCGAAACCTCAACTAAGGAAATAACTGGAAAGGCTTTTTAGGATTATAGCCTCTCGATATAAAAATTCCAACTGGCAGCTGCTTGTTAGAGTAGGGAACAGAAGCGATTTGGCCGCACTCCAAATTGTGTAACAAGCTAGTTGATTGATAGCAAATCGTTAGAGGTGATTGAGTCTCTTTTTTAATTCTATGTTAGATAGAAGTTTTCGTTAATTAAGTAATTTAGATAAATATAATGCAATATCGAAGTCAGTAGCCATGAAAATGTCCGTAACGCCAGCGCTCCTAAACAATGAGAGGCCATAGATTGAATGAGATAAATAAAACTCATTTAATCTAGTTAAACGATAGAGTGTGCTGTAGTGGATACATGCCTTTGCACTAAACACAAAATGATTAACTCATTACTTAAATGTATGTTTTAATAGTAATGAACTTTTATCCGGATTGGATTTGATTTTTAGAATGCTACGACTGTTTTACTGTAACAAAATGTAATCACATCAAGATCAAGACTACTCTGTTCTATGATTCTTATTCCGTCTCTTAAATTTACTTTAAAGCTTTAAACCCAGTCCTAAAATTTAAATCAACATCCTCTTTGTATGATCTCAGGCCGTATCGATTCTGATATTTTAGCATTTTTCCATAATTTATTTTAATTTAAATTTGACCTAATTAAATTGACTTGTGCGGGGCTCGTGTACTTGCGCGGCCTTTACGCCAACGCAGTCCACACGCTGAGGAGCAACACGTTTCAAAATCCATCTAACCGCTGATATTCCAGATCGTCTCTTGAGCTGGTCAGTGTGCGAGCCTGAAACATTTTCCGGGTCTCTCGATTCAATCTCAAATGCAACATACTAGCCTGGCAGCTCGAGAAAATGTTGCAGCATGCTGAAATATAAAGTGCAAGATAAACAATGCGACGAGAGACTGCAAAACGTCGTCAAGTGCAGGGTTAAAATTGTAAGTTTTGTGTTGTGTGCGAATTCCATGTGGTTTCAATTCGTTTCATTTCAAAATTATAGGCAAAATAAAGGGAATTACTTTGATGTTTAATGTTGATTGGAATAAATTTTTAATTAAAATATTTAAGGGCCCACCATATCTCCGTCTATCAGCTTATTATTGACGTTTTCTAACCAAATCTAGTATCTTAATTTTTTGTTGCAAACTGTGTTTTTTATATTGGTCATACCTCTGCATTCACTATCGTGATAAATAGAGACTCCACAAATTTCATTATAAATAATAATTAACACGAAGTCCTAAGAAAAGTTATTAACAATTATTAAGTAGAGATTTGAGACGAATTTCAAAAAATTTTTACATGGCAACTACGAGATGGTCCGTACACCAAGAAGAACATATGAGTTCTACAGAGTCTATGAATTTTAGCTGTCTATGATTGGATATTTATTTTTTTAAATATTGATTTTATTTTATACAGCTAATTCACATTGAAATTTAATGGCAAACTAGGTGAAATTATTTATTTGATTTGTTTACCCTTTTTATTCATTTGTATTTTGTTAGCTATTTTATCTTATAGCTACTACAGATAGATTATTTTTACAGAACCTACTATGTAATTAATATATCAATATATCACGTGATTGAATTTCACCAACTACGCTATAAATTCCAAAATTTAAAAAAAGTTTTGCAAAAAGGCAGCGATAGCGGATGAAGTGAACTTTCATACAATGGAATGTCTGCACATAGGTCACTTTTAGTTTTATTATATACCTCTGGCAACAGTCCACAATTGAGCCGTTGAAAAGCAAAGTGTACATCAGGTAATCATTCTGAGTTAATTTTGCAATCGTATGAATAATAAACTATCAAACTATAATATGTCACCAAAATGAAAAAATATAACATGACGGGATATTGCCATAACATCTCAAAGTAATACTGAGGAATTTAAGAAATTTACAGTCGATACCATTTCAACATTTCTTGCAGTAAAAAAATATACTTACTACACACTTTGCTTTCGACCAGCTCAGTTGTTGTTTATCCACGTTTATTTAAAAATATCATCTTTTTCGCCTCCTATTATCAACTCTATATTAAAACGATTTTGTTAAAGTACTAATAATAATGTTTGATATTCAGTAACGACGCTTAGCATTGTATTATTATATTATATTACATTAAAATTGTAGAATAATAGTATAAAAATGTTTAAGGTTCCAGTTGTTTACATTTTTATCGAATATTTATCACTTACTATCATATGTATTATCATAGTTGATTTTGGCATAAGTATGGTAAGTTATGCCAAGCAGATTTGAACATTTGCCATTTTAAAATATAAAACGAGTGAAAGAAGATTGATCACATGAATATGTTAGAAAAATATGTATAACATTTTTTCATTAATAATCGAATTTATGGAATCTAGGCTCAGATTTTGTTACTTTGAATTTGGAATGGCACGTATGAAAATGAGAATTGAAGTTAAGTTGTTCGCTCATCCATCCATCATCTTCTGAACATATGGATGAATGTAATATAAAAAAAAAAAAGAATTCACTTATTCCGGCGTCAAGGAGCGTGACTTTTGCTGGTTGACTTGATCCACTTTTCCAACGAGTTTAATTTAAATAGTATAATGACTTCCATTTTCTGCGGATTTCCGTTATCTATGCACCGGATTTTTGCATTTTCGATCCGAAAACAATTAACTTTATTTGAATTTAATTTAATTGTGTCTACTACCTGCGAGTAAAATTTTTGGATATATTATTATAGCGAATTAAGTCACTTTTATTCCCAACTTAGGAAGGAATAATGTTGTAACATTTTCATGAAACGTTGCAGTTGTATAATTTAACTTTTACTGAAGCGAGCATCAAACAAATAAGTAACTTGTTCCAAATGTTGATGAAATGTCAACAGCTCTACTGAAATTAGCAGTTTCTTTAGAAACATCAATTACGTGCCTAAAACCCGTAAACTTTGCGTGGATGTTCTCGGATGGTTGGTTCATTGGAAAACCATATTTATATCCCACGTTTTATGCCGCAACGATGGGTTTATATGCTTGCGTCAAAGAATTAACAGGTGCGTGCCTGGGTGGTATTTATAGGTCGTTTTGTGTACGTCATAACTTTGTTAATAAAGAGATCCCGATTGATCGGTCACCTCACGTCGTTGTCTTCAAATGGGAAGCCTGCGTGCTTTAGTTTATTTTTGCCGGGTTGGTCTATTTTACATCAACTCTACATCCGTTTGGGTGGTTGATTGGAAAAATATAAAAGTTTCCGACTATGTTTTACCCCACATTTACCGATACATACGCACCATCCAATCCTGGTTTATTTAGAATGGTTTTAATTTTAGCCCGAGATGTTGCTCAATATGTATTAACCTCATGATGTTTCTGTTAGTTTAATTTTTATTATGTAAACAACGTAAGGTAACAAAATTATGAAAGAATGTGATTAATGTTTTGGATATCCCTGATGAGATGTTTAACGATCAACGTTATTTTGAAAATTACTGAAAAGCCCCATTTAAAATTTTGTAATACTAAATATTTACTTCCGGAAATATCTTTTATAAATAGCCACCCGCGGTTAGGTATACCGGCCGGAAAATGTGACTAAAGCAATTTTTTTTTCATCCAAATATATCCGTTATCGCTGCAACTTGATTTGGGGAAATTACGTTTACCTGAAATCATTTATATAAAAAAATATATATTTTTGCCGTTTTTTTTTTCATTTTCATTTTAAGGAATTTAGAATAACAGAAGTCAGTTACATTAAAACTGAAACTAACCAAAAATTTTTTGTTATTCTAATGAATTTTCCTGTAAAAAAAATCGATTTCCTATACTCATAAAGGCTTTCTAAAAAAGAAAAGTACAATTCTTATTTATGTAAATGATTTCGGCGAAATGAAAGTTGAGCCTTAGATTTGTTTTAAAAATGGGCATATTCTTTATTAGTATATTGTGCAACAAGTTTTTGAAACCACAGTTTAGTCACGCGTTGATTTAGGTAATAGCATAGCGGAGTGTTTAATAAACGAATGTCTAAAAAAGTTTATAAATGTGTTACATACACTCATACTTAAAAAAAAAACAGCAAAATACACTCACTGAGTGACCTGTAACCATCAAGAACTAACAGACGTCAAAATGCTAAAGTGACTAAAGTGACTAAAGTGCTGGCAACGTTCGCATTGGCACGCGAGTGAAGCTTAATGAAGCTGGCGTTTCAAAGTCACGCTTTGCGCACAGCTGATCACTGCATTAATTAATAAAGAAAATAATTTGTGCAGCAACCTTTTTAAAATGTCATAATGATGCTCAAAATATTTTAGAACTAAATAGAAATAACAACAATGCCAATCGTGAATTTTTCTTGTTTTTGATGGGGATTCTATCGAAATGCACAATACATTATACCTCCGTCTAACAGACATTTTCAACTGCTATTTTAAAACTTTAAATTTGGTTCTATATATTTTTTCTTTTTCAGCTGAATTGAAAATTGATTTTATAATTTTCACAATTTATTCTCATTTCTGGAACGAAACGATGTCACCCATAAATGGAGGTTTATTGAAAAGCGGTCTTAGAAACCGGTCTCTTAGTGCCTAATGCGTGTCCACCAACGTAAAAAAATGTCGCTTTCAATGCGCATCGTGAATTTAAAATAGTCTGCTTTTTGTTGCGTTTTAATCGCCATTGATGCTACGCAACGATGCTAGAATCGTGAAACACATTTTTACCATAAAATATCCGAGTACGTTAATATGGTTTGGGTCAACTAAGGATTGGGCTGCTCAAAACTTGTATATGTCCAATGGTATTAAATGGCAGTTAATTATTGCTAATTAATGACATTAAAATTTGAGCTGTTGAATAATATAAAAACTTGGGTATAATACTAGGTAATAAACTTATATTTCGTACTTATAATATAAGTTACAAAAAGTACTCCCGTAATCCATTTATTTATAACCTTAAATCGATTGAGAAGAATTGAATTTTGATTGTCTTCTTTACAAAGTACGTCATATTTATTGGAGAAAATGTCCTTTAGAAATTGCAGTCGTTACCGTGGAACTTATTTTAACTGTCAGCATGAAATGCTCAAAATTGCGAAGACCATGACCAAAAGTCCCTTCTCGTATACGTCTGTATCCTCAGATTAGCCAAGCTTCTAAATTTCATTTTAAAAAATATCTAGATAATTAAGAATTTTCCTGTCTGTATTATTATAATTAGGTCTATTTGTTTTTTTTTTGGTTTTTGCTATGCATATATTTTTGTAACGTAAAATTGGTATACTAAACTAAGTTGTATGTCTTGTTACGCGCTGGGTTAAGTTACCAGGTCAGCTGACCTTCATCATCATCAGTAGCAGGTGCGTCTTGGCTGCGTTTACCTGCGCCTCCATTCCTGACGGTCTTCTGTCATTTGGGGTTGGTACGTGTATCCCATTGTCTTGAGATCTGATATTATATTATCTCGCCATCTTAAACGAGGTCTACCTAGAGGTCTTTCTAGAGGTCTTCTCCTAGCTGGATTGTCACTCCAAACTAGCTTTGTAATTCTATTTTCTGGACTATGTCCGCTTCCTGTCTCTCAGTTCATTGTTGTTTCTTCGTCTGTAGTTTCCCATTTCAGTATCTTTTACATTGCCAAAGATTATTCTTAGGATTCTTCTTTCAAAACACCTCAGTTTTCTCTCGTTTTGCTTCGTCATTGTCCAGTTTTCGCACCCATACATTAGTATCGGTCTAAGTATGGTTTTATAGATTTTAATTTTGGACTTTCGCGATACCACTTTAGATTTAAGGACTCCAGAAAAAGCAAAGGGACATCGGTTTATGCTCTGGATTCGGCTTTTTAGTTTTTCTGTTATGCTGTTGTCTTCTGTTATCGTCACTCCTAAATATTTGAAACTAGTCACTCTTTCTAAATTGTAGTCTCCCATTGTCCT